TAATTATAAATGTGTGCACTAATATTTCAATGCCACCGCAATATTAATTCGCACGTGATCATAATAATTAATAAAATATTTATTTAATATCTATACTCGGCCTAAAAAGCCACGAATCACAAGCTGTAGCGATTATATCCTATTCATTTTTATGACACATTGGAATTTCATTAAACTGTCGCAGTATTTTAATAAGACGACGTTCTAAATTTATGATACGCGGAAAAGAAAAGTAATGAACGTGATAAATTGGTTAAGTGAAATAAACCAATTTCAACGCTTATTATTATTTCTTTTATTCTGAAAAGTGACTTCAATCGACTTTTTCCTGAACCACTTTTAATATATGATTATGTTATGTTTCTTTGTAATTTAATCCAAGACACTTAAAATCATCTAAGCTGTTTTTAATACTATTAATTAATAACAGTGTCTTAATAAAAAGTTTTGGTCAAATATATTTTTTAGTGCTGAACAAAATCTTCTAAAGCATATTTCCGAGATCGTCTATCTGTCTTGATTAATTAAATGTTATTTATTACACTAAAAACAATTACATGAAACAAAAATAAAATTATTATATTTGATCAATTCTGCCATCACAATGCTGTACTGAAAAATAAGCTTTCCACTGACTCTAATCACTGAGCTACCTAGGAACTAACAGGACTGATGATTTTTTCAAACACTTGATACTTTTTCGCTACTACAGAGCGTATTTTCATCGATGTTCAGGCAATCCACCCAAACAACTGAAAGAAATATTATTACACAATTATTTAAAACTCTCGCTAAAGATGAAAATTTGTTCTTATTATTATATTTGATCAAATTTGTATTCACAAGTATTTTACAAAAACATTTTAAATTATACTAAGTTCTAAATCATGCAAGACAAATCATTATAGGAACGTCAAGGATATTAAGTCTATTGACAATGTCAATTAGATATTAACAATTTATATTAATCAATTATTTCACCAAGTATATTAAATTATATTATCAAGCCTTGTGACAGTAGAGTGAACAAATAATAATTTTTTAAAGGAATATAATCGATGGATATTAGTAATTTGGTTATGTTGCCAATAACTCATAAAAGTTTACGCGTGGAATTAGTCCTTTTCCTTTTTAAGCTTTGTACATCCCTAAATAGATATGAATTCATTGAAACACATTTTTTTATACATTTAAATTCAAATCGCTTTAACCTGTGCTTTAAGCCCGCGCATTAAGAAGCAAAGTAAATGAAAGAATGAGATACAACAGTTTCAGAAATTGTCTCCTATTAGAATAATTGGAACAAACTTTGTTCTCTAAACTAAGAATGAGCAGAGATTTGTTAAGCAAACACTTATTATGGCCATCTCGAATAGATTTAGACTTTTTCTGTACTTTCCGTAGTGAAAAGTGAGCTAATAAGGAAATATAACTAGCATTCCACTTGCGGTATCACCCAGTTACCATGATTACCTATCGAGTGGTTATATTTCAAATATTTATCTTTTTATTCTAATTGCCTACAATTGAGAATACGACTTCCTAGTTTCTTCCCACACGAATAGATTTGTATGTGAAGAAACTAGAAATTCTTCCAGAATGAGCCCACAGCCATTTTTAGACCGTCTGACCAATTTCAAGTATTATAAAAATTTATTTGTTTGTTTACTATAATTTACGCGGACATAGTGGGGGCAAACAGATATAACACATATTAATGATTTATGCTACACGTCGTGCAATAATGTAAATTAATTACGTGAATCCATTAAAATTAATATAAAACAAATAAAGATAAAAACACAATTAATTAAAGTTTGAAGACCGATATTTTGGGTTAATAAAAATTAATAATTCTCCCCGACGGCCCTAAAGCTAATTAAAATGGATGGAATTCATTAGCTAGGGCCAAACAGGTGAATGTCTTGAAGCCGACATCTAATGAGCGAAAGGGATAGCGAATTAGAACTTTCAATATTTAAGTCTCTCTGAGTTGGAATCATTTTTATTCATATTTGGCGATCACAACTCTGAAATACCTGTACCAATACTAATATTATTTGTTTGTTTATATTATACTAATATTATTAATTGATTGTTTGTTTAGATAGAATCGTCTCTGAAATTACAGGATTGATTTTAAAAACTCTTTCACACGCGGGTGACATGGCTGTAATTTAAAAGGGCAATGTCGCGGCAAAACAGTAAAAAAATTATAAAAATGCGTATTGATGTTCCTAGTTACGAATCAAAATTCACGTGGTCGAATTATTTAATGCAAACTACGCTTATTTACATGCTTTTTTTTTGAGAAAATGGATAACAAATTTTATACGTAAAACAACCTGATAAAGTAATTTGTGCTTATGGCACAGCCTTCATTTTTGCAACACTTTCTTATCGTATAAAATTGGAAAGTAACTGACAGTTTCTTTTACAACAAAAAAAATATACTAGTCCGCAATAAAGTACATTTACCTTATATCATGTTTTTCATTCGCTCCCAGCTCTTTAGTGGCAGCAACAAATTCTAGATATCAGGTCTCTGCAGGCTCGTATCTAAGAGCAGGTAACACCTGGACGATGCATTATTAATCGGTTTAATTCCCAACCGCTGCAGATACGACGCCTGATAATTACAACCGGTTGTAAATTGTATTCGTTACTAACTAAAAATAAGCAGTTGTGTATGTATATATTTTAACAAAATTCACTTAGAATTCAAAACAATATTATAAATGGAAAAGTGTGCTTGTTTGACGTAGTTAAGCGTTGATAGAATTTTAAATGGAGAAATAGGTAATTAAGATGCTAGGCTATTTTAATTGCTGAAATCCTATATATTATTTGAATTGAATTGAGTCAGCTAGAGGGTAACGAAGGTTACACCTCAAAGGCGCGATTTAGACTCGGTGCATGTCTGACGGATTAAGTGTCCTATAATAGCTGGTCGCTGAACGTAATACAAATACATAAATGATATTCAACCTTGCGCTCGCTTTTTTGATATCCAATTTATTTAGAATTTAATTGACATTTTAACTACTTTAAAGAATTAGCTATGTGTATGTTATTATACAGTTTTTAAACTCATCCTTAAAATAAATAAATAAATATTAGACAACATCATATACATTGCTTAAATACCAAGATGAGAGTAGCTAAAGCCCCTGTATTATAGAATATCTGACACAACGAAGCTACCACAACTTAATTTTATTCTTTTTCAAATTTTCATACTTGATTTTTTTTTGCTATGCGGATTAAAATGTATAACAAGACATATAATATCTCATTAATATTCTAGTAGTCAAAAAAGAATATGTGTGGTTTGTTTTGTGTATATTCTTAATGGACATTAAGGCATCGCGCAAACATAGCTACTGCAGCTAACTGTAAACTTTTAAATACGTTATTCTCTATTTTTATCGTGTGAAAAACAAAAATGACAACCTTTTTAGAATACTATTACACATGTGTTATTGATACATTGACTACAAAATATATAGTGGTAATGTTTTCATGTTACTTTTATCTTAGCGTGACCCTCATCCTAAAACAAAAGATAAAAATCTTCGCAATTTTCATGATAACTGAATATATGAAATTTTAAACTTTCTCTTTTCATTGGAGTAAAAGCCTAATCATTCAACTAATCGTGCTGTAGCTGTTTTCTGCGAGTTAGCAAGTGTAGGTGAATTAAAGCCTATGTCACCCACATATGACGTAGCTTTCCATAGTTGATAGATAATTTAAAAACGGTCCCGCTGTTTTGGGGTATATTTAATGCAAACACAGAAACAATCAAACCTTTCCTCTTTGTAATATTAGTATAGATATATCATCAATAATTGACAGAGTTGACAATTTTTTGTTGATTGACAATTTTGGGATTGATTTGTAAATTTATTGTAATTAGTTTTAATGTAATCTAATTTTATTCTTTATTTTATGCATGAAAAATATAATATACTATTATGCAACCTTTATAATTGTCATGATAAGGCCACGAGGATTTGGTTTACAATCTAGTTTATAAATTACTTGAATTGCTGTAAATTAAACTCAATTTGATTGTGAACTGTTTTGTGTCCTAACTTAATAAATAAATAAATAAAAAAAAAGAGTTGCGGGTAGCGCGTCCATAATCGCTAAGTGTATGCAATGCCTTAATGTTTTTAATAAAATCGTTACGTTAAGCCGCTGTTTTACTTTAAAGAGACAGTATCCCCTCCGGTGGTGGGATCCTAATTAATTACTAGGACGGTTTATCTCCCACACGGAGCCACGATAACATCTGGGCCTTTTGAAAATTACGCCATAAGTAATTAGAAGTTAATTTTGTCGTCCCCCCGCACTTCCATAGGGATGTGATACGTTTGTTTCTGTTTACGTCATAACGTTATGTAAGCAAAGGGCGACAACAATAGAGTAAGTAATTAGTTGTAATCTAACAATCCGGCCCGGTGTTGCGTCGAATTTACATTAGGTGTTACACACAAGAAAATTAGGTAGTATTTGGTAGTTTTTGGAAGTTATAAACCTAGAAAGCACTCATTATTGTGAAGGTGATGCAACTTTCACATAGATGAAATTCATAATATTGAGATCCTCTGTGCTTCGGGCAGTATACTAAGGTGTTGAAGCCGGTTGTACCTGTAGACGGTAATATCCACCAATGCACATTCGCGTGGTGATTCTCAGCCTATTCTATTATTATATAACCTTAAAATGTGCCTCATAAACGCTGCCAAAGTTTTCCTTCGCGTATTTTTACAATGGTGATTCATCATCATCAGTCCTTCTACATTCCCACTGCAGGGGCTTAGACCTACTTATGGATGGTTAAGGAGAAAAGGCTTTGACCCTCCACGCTGGCCCAATGCAAATTGGAGGGTATTGACGACTGCAAATGCAGCCGGGACAAACGTCTTAACGTAACGGCTTATGATTAATGTGAATTAATACGATTGTTTTTTGTTTCATGTCCATCTGAGCAGACGAAGGAGGTGGAATTGGTAAGTCAGCCATTTTATATTTCACTATATCCCTAAGTTCTACTTTTTTGCGGCTGACCATGATAAGTTTCCGTGGTAACATTGGAATGTTTCTTTATTGCGTCACACTGTTTGAGTATCGCCGATATATTAAGAAAGCTCAAAATGAACAAATCGGACTTCTTATAAAACAACTTATATGTCTGTCTATCACAGCAAATATATGCCGAAGAAACTGGAAAATCGAGTTAGAATTCGGTACATAGGTAGTCATATATTCGTCGAAACAAAAAGCAATAGGGAGAAAAAAGTAGCCCTTGCTGAGTTTCTTGCCGGTTCTTCTCGGTACAGTCTCCCGCCGTAAATTTATGAACCGATGTCATAGCTTTCATAATATACATCTACTTTAAAGGTTTTTGTCGGGCAAAAGATGCAAAAAGATTCGAAAATTGCTTCTATTTAAAGCATAATTGGTATAAAGAAAAGTACCTTCTTGAATGTACAAAAATATTTATAAGCCCCCAACATACAGGCTCGTTAAGGAAGCGCCTAAGGACCGTTATTTTCTATGCATATTTAATTAATAGTCTATTTAAATTGCAAATAGCTTGTGATATAAACTCGGCAACAGCCGTTGAAGTTTTGTCAGAACAGATAGAATATTTTTTTCATTTTAACTTCTTATCAGAGTAGTTGCAAACCAAGCTCCAAATGTATGTAAATGTAGTAAGTCATTTTAAAATGACATGAGATTACCTATTATGTAATTAAAATTGGAGAATTCTATTTCAAATTTGAGCTTGGATATGTCTATATAAAATCTCGAGTTCAAGAAAATTATAGCCTTTTTTGACGCTAAGAAATTCATTACGCATACCAGGTCCATTTTAGAGATGTCTCTTTGCACGCGGGAAAAGCAAGGGACAGCCCAAAGATCACTTCCCACGCCGTTAGCCGCCGTAAAAAATATAGCTTATGTCATGTAGCTTCGCGTTAGTGAAACAATTTTTTATTCGATTCAGTAGTAGTTTCAGAGCCTATGTGATGCATACAAACAAAACTTTCCTCTATAATATTAGTATAGAAAACAGAGCAAAGAACAAATAAGTATCATACCAGTGATAAAAATACATACTTAAAGGAGAAACATAATATGATTCAATGACATGATTCATAATATCATACGTTATTGGTTCTATGACCATTCATAAAAGTTGGAAAGTGATATAACTTCTTTTGTGTTAATTTTTTTAGCTACCACGTTAATTGTTATAATAAAAGTTGTGAGGTTAATAATTTTGTTAAAATTTCATAGAGTCTTTATACTAGAAACAATAACACAGTGTGGCAGCTGCACCTGAAACTTATAGAATATATGTAAATACTTACTCTTTGGTTCACAACATAGTTATTTTTATAAAAGAAGAAAAAGTTTATTTGTCATGTTTTTAGAATTTACTCTTTGTTACACGTTCTTGAAAAATATTGAATTTATCTTTAGCTGAAAATTAATAATTAATAAGTAAATGAAATATTGCATAAAACTGAAAGATTTATTATTTCCAAAGTGAACATACGATTGAGATTACCACCACAACTGGTGACCCCGAAAAGAACAAAAGCAACAATAGTAAAATGTCAAGAAATAACGATCCAAAATCTTCAACGGAAAATATTTTATTCAACCCTCAACAGTTCGGTACAATGACGGCATCCGATGAACAAAACGGTACAACTCAAAATTTCGAAAAACAAAGTGAAATATTTAAAGTTGGTGTGAAAATTCCGCCATTTTGGCCTGATCGTCCAGCCTTATGGTTTGCTCAAATAGAAGGACAATTCCTGTTGTCGGGCATCAACTCAGACATTACCAAATTTTATTATGTGTGCGGTAATCTTGATCATCAATACGCTATTGAAGTTGAAGATATAATTCAAAATCCACCTAAAGAAAATAAATATCTTACGTTAAAAAATACTTTAATCAATAGAATTTCTGCATCACAGGAACAAAAAATTAAGCAGCTTTTAGATTATGAAGAGCTCGGAAATAGAAAACCATCGCAATTTTTGCGTCATTTGCGACATTTGGCTGGACCGAAAACTCCTGACGAATTTATTAGATCTATCTGGTCAAGTAGACTCCCCAGCAGTATCCAACCAATTATAGCGTCACATTCTGATATGGCATTGGACAAATTGGCAGAGCTTGCGGACAAGATACACTCCATTGCATCTAACACCCTGAACGTTTCTGAGGTAACTCCATCCACTTCTTTTACACCTTTGGCTCAGACTGCGGCGATGGAGGCAATGGCAATGCAAATTGCAGAGCTGACTCAGAAGGTTAATGAATTAACAACTCATCAAGTAAGACCGCGTTATCGAAGATTTCGCAACTATAGATCTCGTTCCCGTTCTAAGTCAAGAAGTGATGGTGTTTGTTGGTACCACAGCAAATTCGGTGTCAAAGCTACTCGTTGCACCAGATCCTGCACATTTAAGCCGGAAAACAACAACGGCAGCCATTAGTAGCGGCTAATGACTGCCATACCTGCAATGGCCGCCTCTTTATCACGGACAAGAGTACAAAATTAAAATTTTTAATAGATACAGGATCGGATTTATGTGTGTTTCCTCTCGCAGCAACAAAAGACAGACGAACCAAAACAAAATACGAACTTTTCGCTGCAAACAATTCTATCATTTCAACTTATGGTTACATAACTCTGAAATTGAATCTAGGTTTACGTCGTGAATACATATGGCGATTTGTGGTAGCAGATGTTACAAAGCCAATAATAGGAGTCGACTTCTTAAGTCACTATAATTTATTAGTCGACTGCCGTCAACACCGTCTAATTGATAATCTCACCACTCTTTCTGTTGCAGCAATCCATTGCAATGAGGTAATTAGCGAAACTTTAGCTATCAAAGTCGTAACTGGAGACTCAGTTTATCATAAGCTATTACGACAGTACCCAGAGATCACTCGACCATCAGGTAACCATTCGAAGCCTACACATAATACAAAGCATTTCATACGCACCACGCCAGGTCCACCGGTTGCAGCTCGCCCTCGTCGTTTAGATCCCGAACGCCACAAAATTGCACGTGCAGAGTTTGAAAACATGCTTTTAGCTGGCACGGCTAGAAGATCAGATAGTCCATGGTCATCTCCTCTTCACCTGGTCCGCAAGAAAGATGACGGCTGGCGTCCTTGTGGAGACTACAGAGCACTTAACGCGAGAACAATACCTGACAGGTATCCAATAAAACACATACATGATTTTGCTCATCAACTAAAGGGTTCCAAGGTCTTCTCGAAGATAGATTTGGTGAAGGCTTACAATCAATTGCCGGTTTCAGAAGATGATATACCCAAGACTGCCATAACAACACCGTTTGGATTGTTTGAATTCCCTTACATGACCTTTGGTTTAAGAAATGCGGCTCAAACTTTCCAACGGTTCATAGATGAGGTACTTCAAGGGCTTGATTTTACATATGGTTACTGCGATGACATTCTGGTCTTCTCAGCATCAGAGAAGGAGAACCTGCAGCATCTTCAGATAGTATTTGATCGTTTTAAAAATTATGGTTTATTAATAAACACGTCGAAATGTGTTTGGGGCGCGAAACAGTTAACATTTCTTGGTTATGAAGTATCAGCCGATGGCATTCGACCCCGTCAAGAGAAGGTCGCTGCCATACTTGATTACCCATTTCCAAAAACTGCCAAAGAATTAAGAAGGTTTCTCGGAATGCTCAATTATTTTAGACGCTTCATTTCACGCGCGGCTGAAATTCAAGGCCCATTAAACTCAGCTTTATCAGGAAAACTCAAAGGCTCAGCACCTATAGAAAAGACTGAAGAACTAGTAAAGAGTTTTGATGAGAGTAAAAGAAGCCTTGCAGATGCTACTTTACTCTCGCATCCCGACTGCGGCGCAGAAATTGCTCTATTTACTGATGCATCCGATCAAGCTATTGGAGCTGTTCTTCAACAGAAGAAAGATGACCTGTGGACACCATTAGGATTCTTCTCCAGAAAACTTTCACCTTCACAGAAAAAATACAGTCCTTATGATAGAGAACTTCTTGCCATATATGAAGGGATAAAATATTTTCGGAACATGCTTGAAGCTAGAAATTTTGCAGTTTACACAGACCATAAACCTATCACTTTCGCATTCCAAACTAAACGAGATAACTGTTCACCACGACAATTTAGATACTTAGATTACATTTCTCAACACACCACTGATTTAAGACATATTTCTGGACAAAACAATGTTGTAGCGGACGCACTCTCCAGAGTAGAGGAAATAACTACAGGTATTGACTATGAACAGCTGGCACGAGTCCAATTTCAAGATCCTGAACTTCAATACCTCATTGAGAATGGAACAGGTTTGAAATTAAAGAAAATGCCTCCTCACAACTTATACTGTGACGTCTCGAAAAGTAATCCACGTCCTTATTTAACTCCAAACTTTCGAAAACAAGTTTTCACCAGCCTTCATAACCTCAGCCATCCTGGTTCCAGTGCAACTGCTAGACTTGTGGCTGATAGATTTGTTTGGCCCGGTGTCAACAAGGACTGCAAAATATGGGTTCAACAATGCGAAGATTGCCAACGCAACAAAATTACCCGACAATCCTTTTCTCCTTTCTCTCATTTTCCAATTCCCTCAACCAGATTTTCCCATGTTCACCTTGATATAATTGGTCCATTGCCATATTCATCTGGTTACAGGTACTGCCTCACCGCCGTCGACAGGTTCACGCGATGGCCTGAGGTGTATCCCATAGTCGACATCACTGCAGAGACTTGTGTTGCAGCCTTCATGTTCGGCTGGGTAGCACGCTACGGATGTCCTCAAACCATTACTACCGACCGAGGTCTGCAATTCCAATCACATCTTTTCCAGACCATCACCAAATTGATCGGTGCCAAACATAATTCGACGACTGCTTACCATCCTCAATCCAATGGTATGGTTGAGAGAATGCACCGTCAACTGAAAGCTGCTATCACCTGTCACAATAGTTCAGAATGGATCGAGTCACTACCCTTAGTACTCCTAGATATGAGGAGTGCCTGGAAGGATGACATCAAAAGCTCCGCCGCTGAATTAGTGTATGGACAACCTCTTCGACTGCCAGGTGAATTCTTCACTCCACTCTCTGATATTACACTGGACATAACCGACTTTGCAACTCGCTTGCGAAAACATATGGAAAATCTGTCACCAACACCTGCGTCATGTCACAGCAAAAAGCCATTCTTCTTACCCAAAGACATAACCACAGCAGAATACGTCTTCTTGCGTAGAGGTCCTGCAAAGAGAACATTCGAGTCACCTTACACCGGTCCATATAAAGTTATATCGCGTGACAATAACACCAAAATATTGAAAATAGATATACAAGGAAAGGAATCTACTGTATCTGTTGACAGACTTAAGCCAGCTTACATGGTACGTAATTCTGATTTGAGTGCATCTCCACCTACTATGCAATCACCACCTGAAGAATATCCGGCTGAAAGAAGCACTAGAAGTGGTAGAAAAGTACATTTCCCGAACTACTATCGACCGTGAAACGGTCTCGGCAGGGGAGTGTTGTGGCAGCTGCACCTGAAACTTATAGAATATATGTAAATACTTACTCTTTGGTTCACAACATAGTTATTTTTATAAAAGAAGAAAAAGTTTATTTGTCATGTTTTTAGAATTTACTCTTTGTTACACGTTCTTGAAAAATATTGAATTTATCTTTAGCTGAAAATTAATAATTAATAAGTAAATGAAATATTGCATAAAACTGAAAGATTTATTATTTCCAAAGTGAACATACGATTGAGATTACCACCACAACAGCAAACTATAAAATTATATAACCTACAGAAGTAGAAAATTGTACTCTGCAAATTTAAATTCGCATTAGAAATTCTTTGCTCAACTGTGATATTAAATCTCTTTTCTCTTTACGAAGACTGCTGCAAACTTTTAAATTAAACTGGAACAGTTTCTTGTGTAAAATAAGACTTGGTTAATTATTGCATAGTCCTTAATTCATTAGACTCAAATAAAAGATTGAGTCTTTTGAGAAGACAGAGCTTATTTTGAGATAAACAAAAGTATACTGAATTTGCCGAAATCAATGCTACAGATGAACATATTCGAAAAACTACAATTATCTATTCGCACACAAAGATAAAATGAAAATGGTTCGGTTACATTGGTCTGGGTCAGCACTCAGAGAGCAAACGACTTCTGCAGGCTTATCTTGAGTCATAGGAATCTACCAGGGCGCGGAGGACATTGACCAGTGTAATTAAGCCATAAGAAACAGTGTAACTGGGTGTAGCGATTGGAAGAGTCTACGACGGTCATAACTGGTCGAATGGGTCGTGGGTACGAAAAATGATTCTTCGTGTGTCTTGGCTTGAAATGTGTTTACTTTTATATAATACCAATAAGAGAACAAACCTTAAGAAATGTATAGAGAAGTTCAAAATGTGGACATATAGGTGGATGGTTATCAGCTGAATTGAAAAATTACTAATGCCGAAGTTCTTCAGAGGACCATCAGATTCGAGAGCTTTTGTAAACCGTCAAACGAATATAAGTAGCTTGTTTGGGATTATGTAATAAGACATGAGAGATTAAACAAGACCAAAAAAAGGGACTGTGAGCATAAAAATACAATGTTCATAAATATACGACCTAAAGCCGAGTGGTTCTCACGCCGGTTTCAAGGTATCGCCATCTCTGAGTTCCCGGGTTCGGTTCGCTGTCTCGGGTCTGGGTGTTGTGGTATCTTCGCTGTCTCAGATACTCCATAATACGGGGGCTTTAGCTACTCATCTTGGAATCTGAGCAATGTGTGTGATGTTGTTATATATTTATTTATTTATTATTACTAATAGCATAATTATGTATGAACAAGCAATGAGATATTTAAGTCCGATGTATGCTATAAAAAGAATATCATCGTTTATACATTATCGATTATAAAAAATTGATTTGTAATACCGAAAATTTCTTGGACACTTAAAAACCAAATAGTGTCACATTTTACCCACTAAACAGAAAAAGATAAAGCGCGGCATTTCTTGTTTCTTTTCTGCTTCAAAAAACATCGGTTTTCTGTTAAGGTATATTTAATCTTTTAAACTCATGTAGTCATAAATATACGATTGTGATGTTTCTGTCTAGTGCCAGAGAGTTAAATTTCGTACATCTACATCTAACGATATATCTGATTCTTTATCGTTTTTCTCTTCCAGGGTGACACTACTTTTGAGACAACGTCGAATTTGACCTTCGAGGCAACCAAATATGAGAATGGGCAGAAATTTCACTGCGAAGCATCAAATGAGGTCACCATACAGACGAAAGATCATCCCATGCATGCTGAGAGAATCCTTGAAATTTGGTGTAAGTCAAAACAAAACTTATATTTTATACTAGCGTTGCCACTCAGGCTGTTTCTTATTGTGTCTGCTGGTTGTATCATTATTATATTCGTAACATTTTCATTGAGTGATAATAGATTTTTTTAAAGTGTTTTGTGCTCTAATTCCAGACCCTCCAATAGTGAGAGTAGAACCAGACAACGTTACTGTCGTAGAAGGATCTAAACTACTCCTCAAATGCGAATACGAGAGCAATCCATCCTCTTTGAACAGCGTTTTATGGTAAGATCATCACCAGCCCTTTTACGTCCCCACTGCAGGGGCTCAGGCCTTCCTTATGGATGGTTAAGGAGGATGGGCCACGAGCCTCCACGCCGGCCCAATGCGGATTGGAGGGTATTAACGACTGCAAATGCAGCCGGGACCACCGGCTTAACGTGCCTTCCGAAGCACGGAGTAGCTCGAGATAATAATTTTTTGTTCACCCATCCCGTGGCCGACCCTTGCGAAAGTTGCTTAACGACTACGGTCGCGGGCCGCGGCGCTTATCCACTACGCCACCGAGCTACTCATGTAAGATATCCTATGGTAAGATATCTTATGATAATTAAAATATTTAACAAATCCTTGCAAAACAGTGAAAGCTTAATGTGGTTTTTGAAACACGGAGGAATTGGCGATAACAAATTTTTAGTACGGCATAAAAGAAGGATACGGAAAAATATAACATTTATTTGTACTTATTCAGGTATCGTGATGGTGAAAGAGTGAGCGTGAACGATACGTCTCACTACCAAGGTGGCACCACGGATCAACACTCGCTGATTATTCTTGACTCTAGGGGTGACGACATGGGCAACTATACATGTCTGCTAGCTAACGCCGTCGGGAATGGCACCAGCGACCGCACCATCACCGTCAACGTGCTCTGTGAGTTTGTTTACTTGTTCATTGATTAAAAGTAATAACGGTAATGTCATTAACAAAACTTACTTTTATTTTAATTTAATAATTACTAAAACACAAAAAATAACCCCCACGATACTGCAACTTAAGAAAATGTTTGATTGGAAAAAAATATACAACACAATTCAGGAACCCAGTGTAAGTATTATATTTTAATTGCAGATAAGCCCGAAGTCAGACTGACGATGAGTTCACCAAGTCCAATTCTAGAGACAGATCACAAAAACGTGACCCTCACATGTGAGGTGATAACAGGCAACCCTCCCCTATTGGATGAGGTCATCTGGTACCTTGATGGGGAACTTCTAAAACATTTACCAGAATGCAACGGAACTGATGGAGAAGGTTAGTATACTTATACAGATAGCGATTGGTTTTTAGAATTGCAAAATCCTTTCAGTGAATACTCGATTGTGTAGTGTGCAGTAAGCTCTTTTCCTCAGAAAGTGATCTTAGCCTAAAAATATAATCTTTTTTATAGAATAAATAGTCCTTTCAAATCCTGATTATTTTTATACTTCTTACGTTGTCAATATGACGTGTAAAATCTTTAATATTTTCACGATAAAATTACTCACACAAGGACTGCCTATGATTGGCATGGAATTTAATAATTTTAATGTGATTTCCAGAAAATCTTTGCAACGAAGTGGATCCATCTATGCTTCTGCTGCAGGATACTACTAAGAGTTTTCATGGAAACTACTCATGTAAGGGCAAGAATGTCGCCGGATGGGGCGAGGAGAGTAACAAGACTGAACTAGTCGTCAACTGTAAGTATGATATAACGATTTTAGAACTTCCTCCTTAGTAAGTGCCGCATTTTTCTAGCTCATCGATTTTGAGTTATGTATTTTCCAATCAAAAACATACATTTTGCTGTATGAGTTTTTATGTTTTCAGATCCTCCGGGTCCTGCGAAACTGACATACTCCCCGTGGAGGGTGGTAAAAGGAAAGAGTTTGGTGCTAAGTTGTAGCATACAGGAAAAAGGAAGACCTGAGGTTCACAGGTACAAAATTTATGCATCTAAAACATCTTAATTCATAATTTTAATTTTATATTTCTAACAATCAATAATCAAACCTAATATTTTTATTAATACAGATTCCGCTGGCATCGCGGTGGCCGAGTGGTGCCAGACATCGTATCACAGAACTGGACCATTGACCCCGTGACCCTCGACCACCGCACTACCTTCACCTGCCGAGGCACCAACGCCGGCGGCGAAGGCCAGCCCGCTACCATCGCCCTCGATGTACTGGGTGAGCTGATCCACTGGTTTAGGACGCTGGACCACTGCGAAATTTATTTTCAATTTTATTTTACAAAATTCATTGCATATTTTCAGAGGTATTTGAAAATTAGGGGTACTAGAGAACACTGAATATAATAATATAATTTTGTTTTCTCAACAAATTTTTTTATACAATGCAATAACTTTGATATTTCAGCTCCACCAAGTTTCAAGTATGCCATGAACCATTACAGCGGTGCTTTATACAAATCTCAGGTAAGTAATTTTTATTTTTATAATTGTTTCACAGATCACGAAAATTAATTCACATAGACTATTGAGAGGTCACAAACTCAAAAATGTTATAACTAATTACTTACAACCAGCTTATAAGAAATCCTCGTTAGATTATTTTCGATTAAATTGGAGTACGGTTTAAGGCCTGGGAATTATTTCACCAAGGTCCTTGGCATTTGATGAAACTTTTATGGTTATTAACATTAAAATTAGAGTTATTTACGGGATTGCTACCATATCATAAATGTAAAGTAAAGTCAAAATAATCTTTATTCAAATAGACTTCTTAAAAGTACTTTTGAATCGTCCAACATTTTTTCCCTACCACTCGTTCAGGACGTCTTTTGGCTGATAAGAAGAACGAGCAAGAAACTCACCAGCTCTAATATGAGTAATGACATTTACAAAAACCATGTCATTACCAGATCAATACATTATATACAGAGATAAAAAAAAAATATGGTCTTATAATAATAACATAATCATTTAATAATAATGGAAACAAGATAATGAGTTTAGAAGTAATCACCTATCCAGTTGCTGGATCATCTCAAGTCCAAGCGTTCTTATCTGTTATATAATCGGATACCTTATAATAAGCTTTTTTAATAAGTATTTTTTTAATAGTAGATTTAAACTGCATGATATCTAATTGTTGTATTTTGCTTGGGACCTTATTGTAGAAGCGCACACAAAGACCCTTGAAAGAGTTATTAACTTTTTGCAGTCTAGTGACAGGCACCGTTAATTTATTTTTATTTCTTGTATTAAAATTGTGTACATCACTTTTTATAGAAAACAAACTAATATTTTTACGAACGTACATTAAGTTCTCGTATATGTATTGAGAAGCAACAGTCATAATGTCTATTTCCTTAAATTTCTCCCTTAAAGAGTCCCTAATCCTAAGATTATAAATTGATCGAATTGCTCTTTTCTGAAGCACAAAAATTGTTTGTATGTCGGCAGCATTTCCCCACAATAGGATACCGTACGACATAACACTATGAAAGTAACTGAAGTATACTAATCTGGCAGTATCTATGTCAGTTAACCTACGTATCTTCATTACGGCATATGCTGCAGAGCTAAGTCTACTCGACAATCTATCAATATGTGGGCCCCACTGTAGTTTAGAATCTAATGTTATTCCTAAAAACACTGTGGTATCCACAAGGCCCATGTTCTTATCTTTTACATTAACATTCACATCTACTTTTTTAACATTAGGTAGTACAAATTTTAAGCATTTTGTTTTTCCTTCATTAAGGAGAAGATTATTTACATTAAACCAATGTACTACTTTAGCGATAGAATTGTTCACATCGTCATTTAGAGGTAACCCTCTTTTAATTTTAAACAAGAGTGAAGTGTCATCCGCAAACAAAAATATTTCGTGATCATCCCTTACGAAATAAGGCAAGTCATTTATGTAAATCAAAAACAAGAAAGGACCAAGTATTGAGCCCTGCGGAACGCCCATCTTAATTTTCGATCCAGGGGATCTTTTGCCATTGATATCAACCCTCTGTACTCTGTCAGTCAAGTATGAGACAATAAAATCCAATGAGTTATCTCTAAATCCATAAAAATGCAGTTTCCTAATCAATGTTTCATGAAAAACACAATCAAATGCCTTAGATAGGTCACAGAAAACACCTAACGCAAACCAAATTGTTGTCGATTCATAAGCTTATTCTTGTAAAAGTACGTTTGTATTTGATCCAGCATGATTTTTTCAAAAATCTTACTAAACGTAGGTAGCACGGATATAGGTCTAAAGTTAGTAGGGTCAGATGTGCTACCCGATTTATGTAAAGGAATAATTTTACTATAAGATATAAGTAAGATACATGGTAGCAATCTCTTAAATAACTCGTATTCTAATTACCATGCAACTATGATATCTGCAGCATAGTTATTATATAAGTTTCTATTCTATTATAAACGCCTCTCGATTGTCAGAAAATTACTCTGTCCTAAATTTAAATAATCCTTCAAAATACTTTCCAGAACATCTCCCTATCTTGCACGGTGGAATGTGCTCCACTATGTAGCGTGCAGTGGTTGAAAGACGGCCAGGTGATAGACGAGAAGAACGAGCGATACTACATCATCAACAGGAAGATCGAGCCGCAGTTCAACAGAAACGACTTCGAAGCAACAGAGTCCACTTTGGTAAGTGAAGCAGAGAGAAAAAGGCCGGGACTGTTATTACTTCTGATGTAATTGACGGTATTAAATCAGCAAAGTGTGTTAAATTTTGAAAAACAAAAATAGAAGTATAAATGAAGCTTTTTTTAATTTAGTTTTAATCATTAAAATTTCTTTGCAATTCTGTGAATAAGTGAGGTTGTTTTGTCACCTTTTAAACGTATTTTACTATATTTATGGGAAAACAATATTTTTTTAATCACATGTGACTATAAAATAACATTAAAACAAATTGAATGTACATTTTTTATAGTTTACTGTGTGGTACAACATAACTTTCACCACTTTACGTTAAACTTAAATTGAATAGTTATCACGTAGTTCTTGTCGTCGATCGTAAAAACTCATCTTGGAGACGGTTGATGAACCTGAAGACCGGTCGTGAGCACTATGCATGAAGTATAGGTGACGATCATTGGTGTGCCACAGCACTGGAACATGTCGGCGTGGCCGGGCGGCGTGCTGGACCGCGCGGCGGACAGCGCGCGCTACACATGCCGCTCCTCACGCAACGACGCCGGCCCGCCCGTCAACAGTACAACCAAATTTGCAGTTGAATGTGAGTATACTAAGCTGCATTACGCTACACTACGCAACAATAAGTGTATTGTAGCGTAGTGGCACTACTCTTGCCTTTTTATAAGGCAGAAAAGCCTTTAATCAGGGCTCTTCAACGACACCCCCGTCCTGATAAGGACAGATTTAAACGAAGTTGGCCTACCTGATAAAACCCGTTGTGGAGAGGGGGGGGGCACATACTGCACTATTCTATAGTGAAATACACTATACGATACTACGCTTATTAACATTATCTTCACTTCATATCCTGTAAACTGCATTTTAATATGCAGTTTACAATGGCAGCGAGTACCTACTGAAATGTATCTGTTATTTATTTAATTTCATTTTAAAGACTGTGAACGTTGAAATTTAGTTTTTAAGTGCTATATATACACATTTTTAATGCAGATGAACCAGAGAATATCACGGTTACACCTAAAGTGGTCTCGGTCATCGAGAACGAAATACCAGGGAAAGTCGTTTGCTCGGCGAAGTAAGTTAAACTTTACTATTAAACTATTGCATATCATTAAATCAGCGGAGAGATTGGGGATTCAGCAACTTTTAAAGAGACCATTCAGTACTTTCTAATAGTCAGCTAAAATAGCAAAAGAAGATCATGAAAAGTTACTTTAAGTAAAGTTAACATAAAGCTTATCCTCAAGTAACATTCAAGTGTAACAGTCAAGTATTACGAAACTATTTGATTCATTTTTTTATCTTTACAGTAGTTTTGTAGACCTTTCATTTTGTATTCATTCGTAGGGGTTTCCCAATGCCGAGCTACGTTTGGCGACGGGATCATCCCAGCAAGAGCGCGAGTCGGTCGCACGACAACTCGTCCCTCGTGCTGTCCTCGTCTAGCACGCTGCTGCTGCCACCCGTGCGCCGCGACCACGCCGGGCATTACACCTGTGAGGCGTATAACCGCCACGGTCTCATAACTACGAGCGCGCTCCTCGACGTCATGTGTGAGTACACGATACACCCCCTGAGAATAACCTCGTGATCAGTTCACAACATCTATACCCACGAAGTCTAACTTTGCAGCCACTGAAATTCCGAATATTAGTTTTAAAGACTGTCATAGGTTCGAAGTTTGATAACAACTAATCACTAAAGGACGACAACAGTATCTAACATAAAAGTGACACGTTAATAATAGTAAAACGTACCCTATGTAGCACTGGTTGGGACGTAGAAACTTGATAATTAATTAAAATGGCAAATGAGAGTTGCATTCGTTATTTTTTTTTTCCTGCTAGATTGAGATTGACATGGAATTGAAGTTCATTAAAGGTTTCCAAATTTAATGTTTCCATTTCTTTCAACTTGGTGACTATCAATTGAATGTTATCTTAAGTAATATGACCTAAATAAAAAAAGGCAATCATATGCAATCATAATCATATATATAAAAAAATTTTGGCAAAATTACATTTTACAACTTTTTATTTACTTTTACAGTTGTACCGGAGTGTGGAATAAAGAGGACTATGATTGATGGAGATCCCGTGCTAGTATGCACGGCACACGCCAATCCACCAGAGGTGAAATATTTATTTTTGTCCTTTTACCTTGATTTTTACCTTGAATCTAAATATGATATAAAATATGAAGTTAACATAAAACTATCATCTACATATACTAAAATAAGTACTTAAGATAATTTTTACCAATATAATGAAGGCTATAAAAAGTATTTATGATTAAGCATACTCTAAAGTCCAGTAGACCTTTTTATGAATATATAGACTTTACATAATCTATCAGCTGTAAATTATTTTATCACAATATATTATCAGAGGTACTTGGAAATAAGCTTAATTTAGTCCAAGATTAAACATTCAACTCTTTCAAATGGTGTTTTTATAAAATGTACATTCTCCAGGTTTCGTTTCTCTGGAAGTTGAAAAATGATAATGACAGTTTGACGGACGAGGTGATCACTAAGTCAGGTTCCCAGAGCTTTCTGAAGCTCAGCAGCAGCGTTGACGTTTACCGCACATACCTCTGTATCGCCAACAACTCCGTGGGAATGTCGAGGCAATGCGAGATGGACGTAGTCGGTGAGTATTTACTCAAACCTATCTATAATGGTTGTTATTTGTATAAATATTTATACTGAAAGCAAGTTAGCGCTTTATTTTAAAAACCTAATCTTACTATTATTCAATTACATAACTTTACTAAACAACTAATACGATTTCCTAAAGCTCCTAAAGCTAAATTGAAAATGAAATTTCATATTTTCTATTAATGAAATGAAACCACGGTGCCGACTCGTTAATTTAAAGATTTCTTTTTGTTTTCTTAGCTAACTTAGGCAATTTTGGTGAGTATATCATAAAAATTCTTGATCGTTAATCGCGCTTTTACAGTTATGTTACTTTATTTAACAACTTGTATTTTCAGTTTGGGATTTAAGTATTTTTTTTTTACTGATCAGTCATAGAATGGCTGGTGGAAAATTTATATCACAAACCCTTCGATACTTGATTTTTTATATTTTATAGTTCCCGTAGCTCTGGTACTAGTCTGTCACTCAAAGTCAGATTAATTAATGAAAAAGTATATACTTATTGAATGGAATAGAATTTATGACGAAACGAAAAACCTCATCTAATTTATAAATTCAAATACGTTTTCGATTCGTTTCCAACTTATTAGAAGAAATGATACTCATTTAAAAAAAGTTACTCAATGAGTTCGACGGACACGCGTGAATCAAATTGATTGGGTTTGGTATGGTCGGCAGGAGTGGTGCCGTGGTGGCGGTCGTCACAGAAGCTGGTGCTGGTGGCAGGCGTGGCGCTGGCAGCGCTGCTGCTGGCGGTGCTGCTCTGCCTCATCATACTCTGCGTGTGCCGACGCATGAGGGCAAAAGCCAAGTGTTAGTACATGCATTTATAGCATTTACCTTAAAAGTATGGTATTTATTTTTTTATCCCAACATTAACTATGGATGTTATTAGCTTTTTTACTAACACGAATTCAAAAACACTAATAATGAAAATATATTACTAATTTAAATACAGGATTATTATAAAACACTAGCAATCTCGTACGATTAGAAGGCTTGGATTAGAATTAGATGGAATCTTGATGAGTTCAGTCAATTTTAAAAACAACTTGCCACAGTGGTGTCCATACTTTTTTTTACAAGACCGTAAGTCAAAGATTACGGAACGTAAAAATCTGTGAAAATTTAAGGAAAAAATACATTTTCATTGTTTTTTGTGTAAAAACTGCGGGTATTTTGGTGTTTTTAAGAGTTGTAGCGAATAGTAGTGTTACTTAGGTAACCGATACCAGAAAAAGATTGAACATAATTGGGAAGTTGTGGTCGTGGTAGTTGAAAATATCATAAAAGGTGTAAATTTTCGAAAATTTTCGAATTTAATTTTATAATAAATAAGATATAATTTTTTTCTTATTTTTCCATAAGTACACATGAGCAGGTCTACCTCTTGGCGCCCGCTTATCATTGAATTTTGGGACACGTTGTATATTTTTTTAAATCTTTGCCATTATAAATCATTGCTATAATAAACCCTGTTGTATAGAATTAACTTATATTTTTTGTAGTTTACGGTTATTAAAATAAATATTAGTGGCTTCTATCTCATTATTTGGATAAATATTATGTTTTACTGATCATGCTTAATGACTGATTTAATGAAGTAGATTATTATAACTTGTGTTCCATTTGAAATTTATATTTAGATAAGCTGTTATAGACGTATTAAAATTAATATACCAAATATATATTTTTTGGATAAACATTAATAGAGCTTGTTTCTGTTAGAACTTGTTTTGTCCTTTTGTGTTGTTTTGTTGTTAAACTAACTTGTGTTTGTTTATTTTTCCTGGATGCTGCTCTAACAACATTACACTCGCTGACTAACAATCACACAAACAGACAATAGCCCAGTGGAACTCGAAGAGAGGGAGAAGTAAGTTGTTCTTTAATATTTCATTATAAATTATAAAAAAAAGAAAATGTCTTAATCACTTAGTGTTAAGAAACAAAAAGGACGTACAATGAATGAGAATGTCTAGTCGTAATATTAAAATAAATTTGCATTTGTGATTCCTATAGGTAGACAACTAAATTAGTTCTAATTATCATATAATTAGCTCATTATGTTATGTAGCTTTGCTTTGTCTGTTTCAGTTTCTTTTGTGATATCAACATCATTATAGTTTTCAATCTCTAGGCTGAATATTTTTAGATTTACATTAAAATTTTTCTATTTTATATATTTAGTGTAGTTTAATATCATTTAGAAATTAGTGGTAAATCCCTATTTCGATAATTACGTTTAGAGAATAATAACGGCAATTTCATTATTTGTAGATAATTATTTATTTTTCAATTGCTAAATTTATTTGTTTGCCTCGGAATTTCAAATGGTTTCGCATATAATAGGACACCAGTAGGGAAATTCTGCTAATGTTAGCGTAATTATGAAAAGCCATTTGCGCTTCAACTACAATCCTTTATGTCACAGTTCCTGTTACTAGATATTAAAATAATACATATATCTTGATATATATATCTTGGACTTCCGGTATATAGTATAATGACAATTGAGTACATAGTTGTGATTCAATTGAGATGCGGTTATTGCGTGAAAATTAGCAGAATTGAGGCACTGATTACAGTAAGATGCATCTAACTTAGCTAAGCAATGTTTCTACAAAGGGCAATATCTCGAAGTGCGGGAAATGTCGACCAATCATATTTATTCTCCGAGTATGGTTGTTCGTTGTATTTATCATCTTATGGTTATTGAAACAGGACAAACTATAATTTTTTATCGTACATTCTTCGTCCGAATCGCCAGGTATGGTCTTTGCAAACGATGCGCCATGTTAGTTGGATCTTGCTGTAAATAAAATGTCATAATTCTGGAATCAAAATAATATGTATTTATGCAACTTTATTAGAGGCTCTATTATGTACTCCAATTTTTTTACTGACAAGAAAAAATGACTAGCTCTCAACAGTAGTTAACGCAATTATATGTAATTGTGTTCAATCAATCTCAATATTAGATATACAGTAATTATATTAAAATTAATGAGCACTAGTGAGCATAAAATAAAGCTAGTAAGCTCATAGAAAACGGTTTATAAAAGACTTTGACCCTAACAGCAAACAGCGCAGATTTCAAATTTATTACAAAAAATTAATAAAAGAGAACTTGAGGTGCTGACGACTGTACTTTTTGCTATCGAGAATAATGAAACTATTATTTATCATATGTATTTAAAAAAATCTGTAGATTGACATCAGCTCTAGATTAATTTACGGAATTAGTTTTAGTGGAAAACTATATATATCTCGGTGCATAATTTTGATGAGGACAATGGAAATTTTCAGCTACGCCCTTGGTCCGAGCATACTCTTGGTACACAATGTCAATGCCACCTTCAAGGTCACCGCTAGTAGTGCCAATGCAGAGGTCTTAATTTCATAAGGTCAAGATCAGATAGTTTGCGTTTTCGCCTGTAATTTTTGCTGATTGCTTGGACCAAAGGCTGACATACTTTTGTTTTTTACTAGTGTAATTAGGGATTACTAATTTTAGTATTCGAATAGTTAATATGAAGAATACTATTTAGCAGCATGTTTTCATTTATAATATTAATACTCTTAACAAACTAACACGGGTTTTGGCATAATGGGATTATATTGTTTAATTAATTATTCTTTGATATTACATTTGTTTATTCTTGTAGGTTTCTAACCGCACTAACCCCAGATGTTCTAAGACTGACTACAATTAATAGTTCAGGTACATCAATAACTAAAATGATTTCATAATATTTTTTACGTTAAAATTTTACTCCTTATAGATGGAGAATGCTTTCTTATTATTTCACGCTGTGTTTGGCTAGAGTAATATTCGATGCTGTATTTCAAATTTCAGACTTTGTGTGGTTTTCTTGTAGTGATTTTGAGTAGTTACTATTCTAAATTATAACATGGTTTGCATGGAAAATATGCTATTGGAAAGCATTCTTCTAGTATTATTTAACTATGTAAGTATTTGTACACTAATTATCCGTATTATCATTTTTTTTACGTTCAGTAAATATTAAATATTATTTATTATCATTATATTTATATTTTTATGTATATTTGAACTGTAACAATATATAAAGTTTAAGATATTATTCTCATAATTTGTTGAATGGCTTATTAAAAATACCTAACATTTATTTGTCATTAAAACAAACTTTATGTGATCGGTATGAATATAAAAGAGGCTTCTAAAGTATTGATAGTAAAAAAATAATCTTAGAATTACATAAAATCTTATCAATCTTAGGCACAATTTAGGCAAATCCACGACATTTTATATGACATCATAATCACATATGTTATTTATTAAATTTATTGTTTTGTTCATTACATCCTAACATACTTTTGTTTCTTTCCATGTTTTATTTCATTCAGTCCGGATGGTAGCTGTATAAACGAGGTGTCGATAGCCCAGTCAATAATATCGCAAGCTTTACCTGCTTTGTCACCGCGAATAAACTTGTCTTTTAGTCCGAAATCGTCAGATCGGACTAGATTAGTTGATTCACAGAATTATCCGCACAACTTAGAAATGAATAAGTTCAATGAACAAACAGTCACTAGTAGCTTGCAAGCTAATCTATCACAATTAGAAGCTAGTATAAATTGCAAACCTAAAAATGATGAAACAAATGAAAATCAAGAAACTCAGAGTCCCAAACCTGAACCGAGAACTGATGCTGATAAAGTTCAAACTGTAGTAACACCAAATAAGTGGCCACTGAAACCTGGCGTTTTGGTTCATGTAAATTCTAATCATACTTTAAGTCCGAAAAATCAAGCGCGCCTTCAAAACGCACAAAAAACTGTGGAGTCGGAAGAAGCTAATTTAGGATTACTTGAAAGATATAGAAATAAAACTGACGATGCTGTATCGGTATCAAAAATGGAATATTCCAAAAAGAACGGAAGGCCAAGAAGGCACACTCAAGGTGTTGTTTCGGGACTTTTAAAGAACTTAAGAAGAAAAAGTGATGATTCCGATGACAGTAGCGGCAAATATAAGAAGATAAATAAATCGAATAAAAGAGCGGTGTCTTTAATGAGTTTAAATAAAACTGGTTATAACATACCAAAAGGTAGAATACGATCGTTTTTCCAAAGCGATACGCCGAATGTTATCGTTACCGAAGGAGGTAGTTATTAAAATATGTATGGCATTAAAATACTGGCACACTATAAGCACATTGTTTAGATGGTGTATTGAATGAAAATCTTGTTCTAATATTTGGCCTTACCATAAAAAACTCACTATAAATAGGAATTCTGTTTAAATTTTGAAGAAAATTGTTTTAAAATTATTTTTGGGTTAATTTACAATTATATTTTCTAACAACTGTCGTATTTCCAATACATCATCATTATCATATTTCACTTACTTCATCAACCGCTTTGATTATTGCATTTCTATTGAATTCTGCTTTAAAAAATTGTGTTCGCTGTGATGTGCATGATATTTCTTTTAATTTGATTTGCGTTTTCATTTGTAACATTTGCATGTTTTAGTTGTGTCATTTAAAAGACCGGACAGAATTGCAACTAGTGTTAAAGTGAAGCCTTTTAACGATCAAACACCAACTAAGATGACGAGAAAACGAAAAAAGCCTGGCGACGACAGTAAGTAACGCATGATCAGATGCTCCAGCTTAGTAGTTAATTATACTCTTTAAAACTCTCACTGGTTGTTATAAAAAGTTGAACACGTTTGTTAGACACAATTTGTTACTACGAATTTTTATGGAGAAATTTACTATGTTGCACCCTATCAGATTAAAATAAGTTTTCCAACAAAAATATCCCATTAACAGCATGAATGCGATACGCGTCTTTAAAGTTATCTAATACCTGAAATCTTTATGATCAATATATGTATATATAAATAATAAAACAAAAACATTTTCTGAAATCTGAATCATCAATATCTTTCTCTAAACTATGGCCAGATTAAATTTCTTCTTACTTCGATTTCTATTCAGAAAAAGTTTATTTGTCTAATTATAATTTACTGTTCCTACAGGCCCGCCTACGAATGGCGTAGATAATACAGCGAACGGCAATTTAGGAACGGACAATCCAGGTCTCTACGAGAACCTTCCGTTCCATGGCTTGCAACAACCTCCCAACAAGGTAAATAAAAAACTCAAACCTATAATTCACTACTTCAGATATTGTCTTTTATAACTAAATGCTTAATTAATTAATTTATTCATCTTTATGTTTGCATAAAATTTACAAAATAAGTATCTGTTTTATATATTTTTCTTTATGTTATTTGTTTTTATTTTGCATGTTTAATCATTTGTTTCGTCCGTTTCATGTTTTGTTTTGGCATGCTTAAAGCCTGTACAAGCGATACAACCGAGAGTTGTGGAAACCAATCAGAAAACAACGAAAGGAATTGAAACATTACAAAAACAACTGACGACCAATCCTTCATTCACACCAAGAATTGTGTGTCCACCGTTCATGCAAAATACTATAAGCTATCCGATAGCATCTGCTTCAAACTCACAGTATCAAACATTTGGAATACCTGTACTCTCGCCTATACAACAAATGTACCCATTACATCAAACGGTTTTACTAAATCCTTACTTACCACAAATGCAAACGTCCTTTTTAAAACAATTTCCGACTATTGATGAAGAGATTTCAGAATCAGATACGAGAAAATTCTCATCACTTAATACAAGGAACATAAATAGGAGATTACCTCAATTTCAATCTATGAGGGTCGTTAGAAAAAGAAATATTGAAAGATTTTACCCAAACACTGAATACGGGGAAAATTTTAACGAAATCAACAATAACAAAGACAATCATGGTGAATTCGATAACGACAAAAATGTTATTCTTGATCAAGATATCATTTATGCAAATTTCCCATCTCTTCTTAAAGTTAAATCTGATATAAGTGGCGTGGAACATTTCGAAAATCTTACGGATTCCATACAAATATGTGAAGAGAGTATCATACCGATCAGCACATCTACTACATCACTGAGTAGACCAATACCTGCTCCTAGAACGAAGTTAACACCTATCAACAGACCTCTTAAAAATGATCACGTTTATGTTAATTTATCAATGCCATTAATCAATACAAAATTATCAGAATCATTTGACACTGTTGATGCTCCTGTAAGACCGACTAAATCTGCTGATGATATTTCTACAGTAAAACCGTTAATAAATAATGATAAAGATAAAGTCAAAATAAATAAAGAAGATGATAACATAAATGAAAGCGAAGATGAAAACGAAGAGAAAAACATTAAAGCAAACGTGTCAAAACCAAATATAATCGGAGCTACACCAAAACGGAATTTGTCAATTACTCTACCGTCGACCTCATTGGTCAAATCGGTTGTGAGCCAATTAAATGATCAAGGCATGAATAAAGTGGGATTGCCAAAAAAACAAGTAATAACGCCCAACAAAACTTTGCAAATACCAAAGTTGACTGAAAAACCTATACCAAAGAGATCAGTTGTAAGACGTAGTAACTCTGTCCAGAGCACTCTGAACGTGGACTTTGAAAACGGTCAGGTATAAACGCTTATTATTTTTGTTTTTTTATTAAGTTTTATTTTATCCACCCGTATCATTGCTTTGTCATCTAATCTGTCCTTACTAACAATATTAATATTTTCATTTTCAGAACACTAACCTACTACAGCAACAATACATGCCAAAACGTAACCATTTTAGTAATCTAAGTTCAAAAGGCAAAAACAAGAAAAATTTCCAAATACCATTGCAAAAACATCATAGTTTTTGTTATTTTCAACCAATAAGAGTAGATAAGAGAATACCCGTAGACCAGGAGAGATCTTATAATAACACAATAGGTCCAATGATATACCAGCCATCTGAAGCACAATATTACACGAAAACTTTAAACAGAACTAGAGAAAAAAACAACCACAAATTAAATAGACTAAAAAAATCTGAAAGTTTAAGAGAGAAGTTATCTTGTGTCGGTGTATATGACAATTACGAAAAACCCGACTATCCCGAACCTGAATACAATGAATCTGAAAGAAGATCTTACCTCCAACTTCTGAAAGGGAACTACATATCAAATTCAACAAGGAACTTGGGCCCTGAACATAATTACAGTACCAATTACAATACAGTTGGTCCCAAAGAGGAGAAACCTAGACATAAGAAATTAGTGTATGCAGATTTAGCTTTAGGGAATCATAATTTAAAATTTAAGAATACAGTCAATTCTAATAGACATCTGTACGATACATACACTATAGGTAGTGAAATTAACAAAGATACTAACGGTAGCCATAAGAGTAATGTTTCTAGTAATCAAAGGAAAGCAAACCAAAGTCAGCAGAGAAGTGACTACGCTACGCTTAAATTTAACGAGATTGATGTTTGAGTGGTAAGTACTTATTATTCACTTATAAGTGTCAATAAAACATTTAATGAAACAATAACAAATTAAATAGGATCTATGGAGAATATTTTGATAAGTTTCTATTAATAAACTTATTGGTGATTAGAATTGGATTAAATTGTACGAATCGTGACTTAAAGTAAAAAGCACGTATTTTATTAGTTTAAGGAACTTATTAATTTCAGAAAACAATACAAAGATATAGAGTATATATTATTGAAAACATTTAAGTATATACGGTCAACCACACATCAGAGTATACGAAACTGTTAAATTTGTCTAGTTGATTTTAAACATAAATACATTGCAAGTTTCAAAATGAATTGAATAAATTTTACATATTGTGGTAGTCCGACGTACAGCCGTGTGTACTAGGAGTTGCAGCTTAAACATTATATATTGGAAAATCACGTATCGATAAAATTTTATAATAATATTTCTGGTTCTTCCTCAAACTCTATTAGCTAATTTACATTCGTTGGCCATTGTTTTATCGACCTTTGTAAATTAGCCATGAGGGTAGTATATGAGAAATAGAGGTCTAATGGTAATATGTGACTAAGTGAAGTTTAAATCAGCTTACATAGCATGTTCCCGACAAAAAGCATGTACTTAACTCGAATATTTTAAAAAGGCAAAAATGTGACATATTTATTTTTTTCATTTCTAGGAACGCTTTACCAAGAGTGACACGTACATTTTTTAAAATTAAGGTAATTTCAAAATTCATACAAGCTTATTAATTGTTTTAGTAAATGCTTATATTAATATTCTAATACGTTAACATTTCGGCTTAATTACAATGACACTTTTTGAAATAACAATGAATACGATGTCACTTAGGTACATTACCCGCTGAAGCGTCTTACCTAACCTAACTTTAACTTTTCTCTAGAAGGTATGATGTCACTTAAAACTTTTTTAAAAGTCAGGCATCTTTTTATATACACTAACTTATTTGGAATTTTACTAATTTAAATAAGAAGCATAATTAACAAAGATAACACTTAAAATAAAATCCATAAAATATCTTTTCATTTAACATATATTACCATTAGTTATTTTTTTACATTTATTCATTTACGTATTACATTTTTTTTAAGTAAGTGATCTTAACGCATATTAATTATTGGATAAAATAAACAGGGTTGGAAAGCATTGATATTTTTTGTAGATCGTTTCACCCTTTTTCATCAATTTTGTTCCAATAGTGCAATTTATTGTTACAATTTTTCAAGATTTTGACAACCTTGTGTATTGCTAAATACGTATGAGATATATAAGCGCATATTGAATTTGTTTTTTGTATAATTTCAGCCCTTCAAGCCGGATGATCATTTGATATACGCCGACGCCGATCTCAAAGACTACGGGCCTATCAACTACAAGGCAGCGTCTATCTACGCGCAAATGAAGAAAGTGAAGGAACAACAGAGATTACAGGAAATATACGACAAACAAAACCCAGAAAACGATTTACTTTGATTCGATAATTTATGTTGTAACAAATTTTTAACATGTTCAAGTTGACATGTTAACATGGCAGTGTTGTGTCTGAATAATTTCAATATTTTTAAACTCATTCTTGCAATGGTAAGTTTTTCTATGCCGTCAGAGTTGTATTATAATAATAAATAATAAATGGTAGTTTTAACAATACAGTTAACAATGTCTCTTTTTAGATAATAAGTATCTGTATCAAGAGACATTGCTCTTCTATAGCTGTAATACATATTGTTTTACAATAACATATAAATTATTTCAAACCTATTACTTGTCTCGATTGGCAATGTCGCAGGCTCTTATGGAAATGTCACGTTTTTTTAGATACTCTATAGTAAATTTATAACGAAAATCTACAAGAATACAATGAGATCTGAACGAAACCATTCTGAGACATTCTGAAAGAAATTTAACTCTTGACAGATAATTATGTATATTTTAACATGTCATTATTTAACATGTTATGGAAGGCGAAACTACTGTGTATGTAATTTATCGAAGGATATATTTAAATAATTTTTATTTACAATATGATTTATTTAAAATATAAATGGAGAAGTAAAACTCAAAACCCCAGAGTTTACAGCTGATTGTATAGTACATGTTACAATTATCCAAATATTAATGTAAATATAAAAATCACCTATATAAATGTATATTGTAACTTATTCTAAATTATTACAATAACGTTGGTAACGTTAACTACGTTGTAATACCGATTGGTTGGATTTAAATACGAATTTACTTGAATATGTTTTCTGATTTCCTGTTTCTTAGATATACATGGAATATATTAAATCTATCCATATGTCTGAGTAATTTAATGGTCCCTTTTATACAACAGGGTATTCGACAGAATTAAATATTTATAAAAAAAGAACATCGTCAATGAATCTGTTTTAATTATTTTTAGTTTCGATTTAATTAGGAAAGTTTTTGAATTATGAAATTGGTTTGAATTGCCTACCTCGACAGTTTTTTGGATTAAAATTATATTGTATTGAGTATCTTATATTTCTTTTACTAAGTAATGAAAACAATAAAACAGAAACGCTAAAACATAATAAAACTTCATGGGAGATCTTTAACACGACTAGAAAGATGGTAATATCCGTCCACACGGGATAGTCAGATACTTAGTCGATTTTAGTAAGTGGCCATGTCTCTGTAAATTTATTGTATAATACTGTAAACTTTATTAATTAGAAGAAAAAAACAAAGAATATCCAAAGATAATGGGATACGTTACGCCAAATGAGATACGTGTGCATTATGGCACCAGAAATTAGTGTTTTTTTTATATTTTATTTTACAGTCCGTACAATGTCGGCATTTATTTATTAAGGTTTTTGTTTTATAAGTTTCTTTTTATTTCGACAACGAATTTATGTATATTTAAAATGATTGATGTATTTTTGGAGCATAATATTGTTAATAACAACGCTTAAAATTAATAATAACATGGTTTAATAATTGTGATAAATAGTCTGATTTATGTGGTGCCATTTTGTAATAATGTATGTTTAATTCAAAATGGCATCATATCTCTTTAAAAAAATAATGTTCTGTATTGTCAACATTTAAATTTTTATTACATTAATGAACGTTGTGAGATTAAAATCTTTGATATGTATTTAAACGTAATAACTAATGAAACACTAATGTAAATATTAGATGGAACTCCTGACATATAGGCTTTTAGATATTTAAAGTTAAAATGTTATTTTAATAAATCAGATAAATAATAATTTAAATGGTAACACATTTTAGTTCAATATATTTGAAATTTTATAAATTATATTTACCCATCAATATATAATGGGCTCAAGTGGCTTACGGCCCATTCTCCCAATTTGATTGCGTAATTATTTTCCCTCTATTTTAAAAGAGAAAGAGCCTATTTTTCATGAGTTTCTTGTAATGTGGCACTGAATAAAAATGTGCTCAATCTATATTTATGTATAGACTAAATTAAAAGCGCTATTGAAATGGTCGTTGGTATAATTTTCTCTGGTGTAAGCAATATTATTTGAATTAATTTTTAATTCAAATAAAAAGACCTCTAGTTACTGTAAAAAGTTATATCAATTGCCTTGTACTTTTATTTTTGAGGAATTTTCGATATTGAAATTTTAATGCGCCATTCCTTTAGTTTTATTTTTGTGAACGACCAAATCAAAATGCGCTGCCTGTACTAAAATTAGTAAAAAAATACTGGTAATTATTTAAAAGTTAGACAAAGTTTTGTACATACAACTTGTTATTATATTGTCAAATAGTGTTAATAAATTAATTTATGGATTTTTAATTAGTATTCTTTTTTTCTTGTCTGTTAATATGGGACCAAAGCAATCAATGCTCTTTATTAAAAAAAATATGGGTTGTATTTCAAAAATGTCATTAAAACATATACTCCATTCATTATAACATTAGGAAAAAGAGGATCTCAGAAGCAGCAGTGCAAAACATTTACAAGGTAAAATATTTATAATAGTTTTGTTGAAATTTTGAACTTTAGGTAGTCTGAAAGAGTTGGGCAATTTTATATTTTCTCGGGGTTGAGATAAGAATATCATTTTCTAAATTCATCTTTTACTGAGAGCCAACAAGGAAATAAAACTATCTATCTGTTGTTTTGGTTGATTCTAATTGTAAGTGTATATATTAGAATATAATTTAGTTATATCTATGCCCAGAAAATATGGGTAAACAAAATGAAATTTTTATTATTACTTTTATAATATTTATTCAGATATTATTAGTCTATTGATTAAGATATTGGAAAACTGAAATGTCAAAGGTAATTGTTGTAGGCCGCTCGGGGCTGCACCAGAATCGCAATTCAGCAAAACTTAACAACAAAAAGATAACATTAAAACAAAACTATAAGAAAACAACAATAAAACAGTAATTACTCAATCACCGAAAATGGCAAAACAACAAGAAAGGCAGTAGCATTCGCAATGAATGACAATCCCAGATTACGTATTTTGACTATTATGAATAAATCATAATCTGACAAAATTAAAAAGCTGTACTGCCAAAACGTTTGAAGGGATTAGGCAACATTTTAAATATGGTAGAGTTATAGTGACATGAGAATCGTGCCGAAACTATCTAACCCGGCTTTTTTAGGTTCTTTAAGATGAACACTTTTTATTGTAATAGTTATTAAATGTTTTAAGTCAGTCAAATACTCATAAATTTGTTTAATATATATATATAGCTTAAAAGACAACGGTTAAGTATAGCAGCTCGTATTTAAGTGGATATGTAGCAAATTAGCTGTTAGTCTTAAGAGTAACATGATTGTTGATATTTTGTCACAAAGTATACCATAAAAAGAACCTTATTTTCATTCTGTCTAATGCTATAATGAATGGAGTATAGAGAAAAAGGCATTCTGATGAGTATGGGTGAATATAGTTTTTATCTTTTTCGAAAGTTTAAATATTTTTCGGCTGTTTGGGTGATTGCCCGAACATTGATGAAGATACGCTCCATAGTAGCGAAAAAGTGACAAGTGCTTCTTGAATGATTCGTCAGTTCTGTTAGGTCCTGGGTAACTCAGTTGTTAGAGCAGTCGCCCGGAGTACGAAAGGTCGTGGATTCGAGCCCCATCTTGCAGTGACAAAGTGGATTTTTCAAGCAATTTTCATTAAAAAATATTTTTCAGTATAACATTGTGAATTCATAATTACATATTTTATTTTATTATTTTGCCAATAATTTGGCATTTGATAGGTTAATGTTTTGTTGATTTAGATAGATCTTAGTATAAACTTTACGGTGCTATAAGGCTAAAAATAGGTGAAATTATAATACTTTAATTTCACTCTTTAATCTTGTAACTATAATAACAAAGGCTGTTTTAAGGCAATCAAAATCGTTTTGTTAAAAACCGTTATAGTACACGCAGTCACAATGTTTACTATTATAGATCTTTCTTGTCACTATATAGAAACCAAACACTTTAGTTATAGAACATAATGTAACTTGGGTATGGCCAAGTCTCCCCATTCGATACAATCCAGAGGGAAGTCCAGCCCAGCATTGAAGACATCAATAAACTGATGGATATCCAGCAAAATTACTATTTGATCAGCATAATACATCAAACAACAGCATCTCACGAAATTAGTACGCGACAAGAATTTTAAAACAAGGGTCTAAGATTTTCCCCGAAATCGGTGAATGTACATACAATAATAAAAAAATTGAAAAAAAAACGACAACAAAAATCGACTAAAAATGATAAAACAAGTTGGTATTATGACTTGACTAGAAAAATTATATTGCAGTCGGGTGACCTGTTATACACACACGTTCCAAATAACGTGGGCTGTGAGATTTTTTTTAGCCAAGCCACAATATAACTTATTTCTTTAATTTTTAGTTCGATTTTAAATGTCGTGTTTTCTAATTTTTAAAGTTTTCCTTTTTATTTTATTCCCGTAAATGTAGTAAATGTATACGAAGTATATATTTTTGGAAGGTGATCTCATCAAGACATTTAAATTAATACCCATATTATTATATTAAATGACATCATACCGAATCTAATACCGAATATAAATGACATCATACCGAATCTAATATCCGAGCAGAAGCCTGGGGACTTTAGAAAAATCATTCTTTACCCGTCGAATATAGAACCTCCACCTATTCGATTTTAAAGTTTATTAAAAAGAACACAATATACAAATCTATAGATTTTTACGCAGGACTTTTAAATCTAAAATAACAAAAAAGTACATATATATATGTTTTATTTCATAAATATATTTTTTAATTTATATACAAAACTTATTCTAAATTAATCACAGCCAATGCCCGTATTTAAGACAGGTATTTGAATAATAAGATTTTATTTTAAATAAAAAGATACGCTGCCTTAAATACTAATAATGTGCCTTAAAATAATATCACATATACGCCAATTCCCATCGTCATAACAATTATATTATTTCTAATTAAATATCACAACTTGCGTTTTGCATTACTTTTGTTACATTTTTTTTATTAATGTACACATTATTTTATTTATATTCATTTAAACCATTTATACACTAATAACTTGAGCATTGCATTGATTTAATTAACATTAAAGCATTAAATTATTATAATAAAATAACTAATAATATTGAAAGACTATAATGTCTTATGAATGGAGAAATAATAATTATATAAGGTATAATTATTTCTGATTTCAAATGTCTTTCGATCAGTATTTAAGTTAGAGAAAAATCCGATATTTATATCATGTATTTTCTATTTCTGACAAGTAGCAAACAAAATAAAATAATAAACTAAACAATGACATATTCTAAAATTATGGCAGGACGTTAATTAATGAGGAAGTGTTTAAAAAAAAAACGAAAGCACTAAAAAGGCACCTCCACTAGATGCCGACTCTAACCAAAGTTGATTTTTGTAGGAAACGAACGGACCAAAGAGTCACTTCCGTTCCTTTTAAGCAACTTAATAAAAAACTGAAATTTGAAAAGTTCAAAACTCAGATATAAATACAAATACGAAAAAGTACAAATAGAATATGAGTTGTTTATGAAGTTTTGAAAACTAATATACTTATAACTTAAAAGAAAACTAGAAAGGTTGTCATGGAGAAATCAAGAACGTACCGTAGCGACATCTAGTTTGATTTCGGGAACTATTTTTTTTAAATACTTTCTCATTAAACGGTTTATTATAATAAAACAGGATTTAATTAATACCCTCTGAAAGTAGTTACTAACTGATTAGAATTTAATAAAAAGGAAATAGTGTCATACAGCCACAAAATTGCATGCACGTTGCATGACAATATTTAGTGCTTATAAAACTTTTTTTTTAATTCACACAATTTCGCGTCATGTAACCTCTTCTGCAATTTATGAAGCGAATTTTATCTTTTCAACAAAGATGCAGGAGTGTTAAGGGTTTCGAACCTTATTGTGCACCTAATAGAAATCAATGTCTTCCCTTCCGAAGTAAACGTAGTCTGAACACCATTTTCTAGCGTCTAAATCTGTGGAACAGCAGGCGGGCAGCGCTAATTTCGATTTAGTTAACTTGGCACATCGTTGACACAAGTCCAGGAGTTCATCCTAAAGAAAGAAAAAAAAAATATTAATAGTATGTTATCCTTAAGGGTCGAAAGTAGTTCGAATGGCTATGAGAAAATGATGGTACGGAAGTGTTTTTTTTTACTCTTTTGCTCGACTTGGCGGGCACTTCCGTGCTGGCCCTTGAGGTTTTGGTTCATATGTCGATCTTTGTTGCTCTCCTACCACAAATAGCACATTAGGCCAGTGACATTTTTCAATAAATTCACTATAATCGTTATAATTATTCCTGCTGAAATCCTGTACCCTAATTCCAATGGAATGAAATACAAGCAAGCTAAAAATTCTCAGCTGTCCAATTCTATAACGTTGGCGACCAAAACTTTACTATCTCGAACTCAGTGCTTTGTAATGCACTTTAAGCCGTCGGTCCCGACTGCACCTGCAGTTGTTAATACCCATCAATTCACACTGGGCCCGTGTAGTGAGACAGAATAATTCGGGATAATACGGAGTGAAAAACGGTGTTATAGCACTGTCACTGTGGTGTCAGATCTTCGGTGAGAATTGTTTTAGATGACATGGAGTACACATTATACTATTTTTAATGCGTTTGGTGAATTTCTACAGCGCCATCTATATTAATTATAACTTCAGATGAAAAGGACTGGGCATCTACAGTGGGGACGTAAAAAAGGTTGTCGATGATGATGATAATAGAAGTTCATTATATTTATCATCATTATATCATTATATTTAAAAGAGATAAACTTTCTAGCTTTGTTTGTTGGGGGTAATCTAGCGAAATACTGAACCGATTTTGAAAATTCTCTCACCTACAGGAAGCTACATCATATACAGACAAATAACGCGGGTGAAGTCGCGTGAAAACGGCTAAAAATTTATTCGGATTTACGAAAGACATTGGTTCAACGGTACGGGTGGTAAATGCAGTGTTATTTAGTCATTATAAAAAATCAAGGCATGTGTAAAGAATTATAGTGGTTACTTATCTCAAATTCTTATAATACAAACGTGAACCAAGTAAGGACAGAGAAGATGATACGAGATGGATGCAAGGCGAGTACATGACGATGCGTGGAGGCAACAAGGCGGATGCAAAGCGGTTACTGGCGGATACAAAAAGATAACAAGAAGTTAATGAAGTGGTTTCATGACCGATGTAATGATGTAACAAGGGGGATATGAGCCGGTTCCATGACGGATGCAATGACGTAACAAGGGAGATATGAGGCGGTTACATAACGTAACAAGAGGGATATGCGGCGGTTACACGACGGATGCAAGGAGGTAATAAGGTGGATGTAAGGCGGTTACAATGAGGATGTAAAGTGGGCCCAGTCACATTCGGAAAATTTAGTTCAATATACTATTTGTGAAATTCCATATGTAAGAGTGAGACGCAGATATGCACGCGCGCGAATTATGTGAGAATGTTGCGCTTAAACATTTAGACTTTGAGATGAGCCGATTAAAACTCTAGTCGTTTACTTTCTGGATCATTTGTCAACACCGTGATAAATACCGGATCTTGGCCTTTCAACCTTTAAATTAAACGAACGCGCAAATTAAGTTCTTACTTTTTTTATAATAAAGCTTATAGATAGTTAATGATCATGTTGAGTGATAGTAATTCGTAATTTTAGGCGATTAAATAGAATTTAAATTATATATTACAATAATTACTATTGACGACCTTCGTAGCCGAATTCGCACGCCGGTTTGAAGGTGTCGCCTCATCTCTCAGATCCCAGGTTCGGTTCCCGGTCGGGTCAATGTAAAAAAATATCTTTCCTATATTGTCTCGGGTTGTTTGTAAATATCTTTCCTATATTGCCTTCGTTGTCTCAGATAGTCCAAAATACATGGAGTTTAGTTATTCTTTTTGCAATCCGACCAACATATATGATGATATTTAATATTTATTTATTTTAAATATATCTCTACATGAAGGTACTTGTTCCCTTGAACAAACGGTCTTTGGAACTTTCAGTTAAATTAGAGAAAATGTTTTTGCATTTGATAATCAGTTCTCGGAAAAGGTTTTAAGCTTCATCGTTAATAAACAACTTAGTCTCAGAATCCGATTGATGGTAGGTAAAATCTCGAAGTATAACCGAGTCTTAGGACATTATAAATAGACAGATAGAGCACCGCAATTTATTTCTGATAATAATGAGTAACGTCTTGTTGCTTGCGGACTCTAAGATAAAAGCTCATTGGATACAAGTTTTAAAAATATTATAATTTATTTGATACGTACGTCAGTGTGGCACTCCGCTGACGCTGTGAAAACATTGCTGCCTTTGTTCAACCAAGGGGGTCGCGCATTCGTTTCCCGGATAATCAATGCCATGCAAAGCAGTAGCAGTAGGATAGAAAAGCTGCGAACTGTATGCTCCTGTGGACAAATCAAATGTATAGTTATAAAAACAATTACAAGTTTTTTTTTATTAGGCCTATTCGAAATAGGGTGTGTGTGTATATTAAGGAGATTGATGGCGTAGTGGTTTCGTTGATTGATTTGTATTAAATAGACTCCGAAACTAGTATAAATCCCGAATCCTCAATCGCTATTGTAGTAAAAAAGATATTTCAGCCATTTTACAACTTAAAGTTTCCGTTTTGCTTTTCTTTGTGTTTTGTATGTAATAGTAGTTTATGCAGTTGTCATATAAGAAGGGGTATTAAAACACGAGAGTCTGTTTGATAATAGGTTGACTCGAGTGTTTTAATACCTAAGTTATATGCAGTTTCATACACTACTTTATCTTCAGTCATATAAAAAATTGAAATTAAACAAAGTAGGTTACAAAGAAGTAATTTATGCGTGCGCCATTTTTTTCCCAGTTCGAACTGCGCCGGCGTGTGCCTTTTTTTCATATTCAGCCTAAAACCATAGACTAGTTCAATGAATAAAAAAAGATAGTTTTATGATAGTTGGCGGTACTATAATGAGTTTTATTTTTAATTTTATGTATTTGCGTTTTTTAAAGTGCGTATTTATAGAATCGGCTTTGAATTCGTAATTCATATTTTTTGATTTGATTGTAGGTACAATATAATAATAATACAAAGGTATATTATAGTATTATTTTTATAATGTAAATGTAATTTGTTAGAAACTTATCAAATGCCTTAAACCTTCGAGCACAGATAAAATTTGACCTGATAAGTTTGACGCTGGTAGATAGATTTATTTATGCACTAAAGGAAACTATAAATAAACTCAGTTTAAGGACAAGTTAGGATATCCGAAATAAAATGTTTTAAAAATACACAATTTATTTCCAAATAAATAAATTACATTACATATATTTATAATTCAAAAACCAACCTCATAATGGTAATAGCAGTATATTTCGTCCGTTAGGATAGATTCAAGATCGTCACCATTCTGCCAGATCAAGCAGTAATCTAATCTAGTAAATTAGTTTTCAAAAATCAATAAACAACTCATATTCTATTTGTATTTTTTTGTATTTGTATTGATATCTAAGTTTCAAACTTTTCAAATTTCAGTTTTTGAAATATGTTAGTTAATAGGAACGGAAATGATTGTCTTTGGTCCATTCGTTTCCTGCATAAATCAACTTTATCTAGAGTTGCCATCTAGTGGAGGTTTTTTTTAGTGCTTTCTTCTTTTTAATACTTTCTCATTATGCGATTAACCGTTATATGCTATTTTAAATGTCATTTTATACTTCGTCTCGGAATTGATGATTTCACTAAATATAAACCAATAAACATTATCTAACACATAAACGCTTGTTTCTAGGCGATCTGCTATTAACAGTTATAATAAATTGGAAGTGTTTGTAAATAGATAAGCGTTATCGTTTGTTTTTGGTCCGATTCTGGTGACTATATTGGGATAAGTTGCCATAACATTGTGTGAATAACCTCGTCCAACAGCTCATTGTTTTTGTTTAAAGTAAACACAAAAAAAACTTTCACTAGATGATTATCTGATGATTATATACCTAATTGGTAGTTATTAAACTATAAACAATAATAAAAAATACGAACGCCACACACTTTTTTTTTTTGTTTTCTAAACGTCTTAAACAGATAAATCATGAACCACAGGAAAATGGATATGCTTTTATATAACTTTTTCGTGTTTAAAATTATGAAAGCGAATCAGTTCACTTATAACAATAATTAGGGACCAATCATTAATCACGTGATGTTTTTTTACAGCATTTTAAAACCCCCTTGGTGATACACGGTGAAGTTAAAGACTAACCCCCCCCCTCTACCCAAATCACGTATATTTTTAGTACCTACAATATGTTGAAAAATGCTAACTTATAATCAATAACTATGTATTTAAATTATAAGTTTATTTTATTTTTGCAAAATTAACTTAATGTTTTTAATACATCTGTGGACTACAAGAACTGAAAGGCCGCCATGACGGAGCGTCGTGTGACGTCACATTTCAATAAAGTAAAATTATTATGGTTCAATGAAAGTTTTAAAATATTTTATCCAAAACAATCGAGTGGTCTATTGTTATTAATACCACTCTTTATTTACTAAAAATACTTAAGACCGGTTTCTGAATTCAGAAAGTGCAAAATCTTAATTAATTATACTCAATGAGTAAAGTTTTTACCTAATTCTTATCAAAAAATCTAAATTGCGAAGCGAAAACCTGTTTAAGTCACATTTAAATACAGTTTCAGACGTGTTTATCTTGAAATAAAATCAATTCAGACACCCGGTGTAGAGTGCCAACCAAGTAAGATGAAAAATTAACTTGCATAAAATACTCGACAACCTTATCAGATAGCGGTGGCCTAGTTTCCAAAGTGTTATCTTTATTGATATTAATAAACTGGGATAATCCGCGTTATCTTTGCTGTAATATTGATATGACTTTATCGACTACCAAATTGGTAATATCAACAGAACATCATCATATGTATGAGTAGAAGAAACTTGGTGCAGTTAAAACAACGCCTTGTAATTCATAAAATATTAGCGCAAATGTAATTTGTAAAAATTTATTTACTGTATTATTTCCTAGACAAGGCGAAGAAAAAAAGTCTACATTTGTAATTGTATGGGAACATAATCGGAGGTACATACAAAAACGCCTTAGAAACTCATTTTGACAGATGCGACCAAACCATTCATTTGCTGCAAACTCCAAGCTTCTGCTAAAGCGAAAACGTGTGAAAACGTCTCAAGCGCTTGAGGCAAATTCCTTTTAACATATGAGAAAAACTATATACTAGTGATATATACTAGTGGTAAGCGTGTGGAAGTGGCATTTGTGGATCTAAACACGTAACATTTTCTGCTCGATATGATTTATATCTTCGGCTTTCTTTCTTTAGTGTGTTGTAATAACTTTTGTTTTATCTTATCCCTTAATTTAGGCTCTTCAATAGACTTAGATAAAACTCCTATCTGAATTTATAAGTTTAGGTACAACAAGACAACCATAATATGCCAAATTCCTTCAATTGATTTTGAACTCTAACTACAATTCATGCAGGTTAACAATCGATTGGATAAATTTAACAGCTTTGTAAAGACTGACTTGCTATTGACTGTACACTTCAGCTATGTTTGACAGTTTGTGTCCTTGGTTTGATAAGTGATTATACATGTTTTTATAGAACAATTATATTTCACGTTTATTATAATTATATATCACGTTTTGATTATCAAGATAACTTTATTCGAAAGTTACAACAATTTATTTTGTCACAGCCTTTTATTTATATCTGAAACTGTAAATTTTATCATTACAAATTTAAGAGAATGTTTAAAAAATATCATAGCAGATTCATTTTCCAAATGGATTTCTCTGCATAATTTAAAACAGAGAGTAATAATCAGCTTCCGCTGAATTCTTTGCCCGTTCTTCTCAATACAAGATCTCCCGTCGTAGATCTGTATCACAAAACAAAACAGCCTAGTCTGAACGACTGATATTGATTTTTTATCTAGATAAAAGAACGTTGACCAATACTAACTAATATTATGCGAAACTGCCGATTAGAGACGAATATAAAATTAAAGGGACGCCTTGTAATTAACACAAATATTATATTGTTAATTTTCTACGATCAACCCTGCGATTAAAACCCGAATTCGAATTCACCTATGTATCCGAAGTTACGCCTTTTAGTGTAAAAATTCTATTGATTCCATTTTTTGTATAAAAATACAAAACAATTTTGAATATTTATACGTGTCTCAGACATTGTATTCCTATATAATTTTGAAACTTACTTCACTTATGCTACGAAATGTTATTACCGATTCAATATTGAAAAGATCGACGCTTAAGAACCAAGACCTATCTACAATCTATCTACAAAAAGTCGATTTTACAGGAGACGAAAAAACGTTTCACATTTTTTCAACAACAAGATATATTATTTTTATGTCTGATCATTTTATGGATGGGCATGGGAAATAAGGTGTTTGCATGTATTTCAAGAAATCTTCATTAGTTACAAAATTACTGTAGATAGCAGGTATTAGTTAAAATATTTGCGTATATTTATGCAGCTAACTGTAATATGAATGGTATTGACAAACGAAATAATATACTCTTAGATTAAAGACTTAAATCAAACAAAAACTCTTAGTTTTATTAAATTTTAAAACGAGTAGCTACGAGTTCCCTGTAGATATGTGGTATTTCCATACAATAGGGATGATGACTAATTTTTGTTTGTTTGTCCGTCAGGTAGAGTGTTAAAAAATATTAAACACGTATTTTTTTATTTTTTCGTAATCATAAAATTACGGCGTTACATGGAGTTGAAATTTCGCATGACGTCACGTTAGAGTACGTTTCCTACTCAACTGTGACGTAGCGAGCCCCCACTCCTCAACTTTAATGCTATCTTAGCTATTTCTTATTAATTTGAAGTAAAAAAAAATACGTATCTAATATTTTTCTATTATCTGACTGACGGACTAAATAGAATTGCATTATTTTTACCCAGTCATCATCCCTATCATTACGACACGTAACTTAGGTAGTATAGGTATTTTCTCATAACTCCTAATTTATTGCGAATTTGAGGTAATCGATTAAAGGAAGTAGCTCGGTGGCGGAGAGAATAAGCGCCGCAGCCCGCGATCGTTGTTGTTAAGCAACTTTCACAAGGGTCGGTCACGGGATGGGTGACCAAAAAAAAAAATTATCTCGAGCTACTTCGTGCTTCGGAAGGCACGTTAAGCCGTTGGTCCCGGCTGCATTTGCAATCGTTAGGGTATTAACGATTCGCAATTGGGCCAGCGTGGAGGGTCATGGCCCATCCTCCTTAACAATTCCATAAGGAAGGCCTGAGCCTCTGCAGTGGGGACGTAAAAGAGCTGGTGATGATGATGATGATGATGATTAAAGGAAACGATGAGTAGATAAACCATCATATGAACTGCATTAAAAAGTCAAAACCGCCAAAAGTGTAGATAGATGGTCTTGGTTCTTAAGTGGCGATATGCCGCTTTTCGAAGTAAATTCGGATAGCTGAGTAAATTCAAATTCGGTATGGATTTTTACAAAATCGCAGGGCAATACAAATTTTTTACACATATAAATTGTAAGTGAACAGTAAATAAAGTATGGCAAGTAGGAATAGATCACTCTATAAAAAAGTCAATCATATCCGTGTTAACAAAGAAGCGACCGAAACCGGTATATTTAATCGGTTACGTAAAGCAATTCATCATTAACTGTACTTATACCTAATTCATAATTAAGCTTAACTTCTGTTTGTTTTTATTCTTTTTATCGTTAATTAAACAGTTTTATTGTTTTTTTTTTCCTCGTTTATCATCTGAAACAGCTGTTGGAGTGCCAAAGAGTCAAGTAAATGTTCTCATTTTAAAAACGAAAACTGTTTCACTAAATCCGTTTTTCTATCTTAAAAAACTATTTTAATGGCACCTACAGTCAATTAATAACATTAATGATTTTATTAAACAATAATTAAAAAGAACATACTGAAAAATTATGAGTTATTCATACTATGCGTATGTTATATTTTTGAAGCATTTTCATTAAGGATATGTAATATTGGTCGGAAATGTCATCTGCTGTGAGAAAAGGGAAAAAACATCTAGATTACTTGTAACGGAATATATTGATGGGCCCCAAGTAAGATTTTTATTATTTTTGTTTATATTTTGTGCACAAATATTTAATAATTTCTGTCTTTATCACAATAACTACCACGTGAAATGTAATATCACCGAGGTGATCAAATTAGAATAAATCAAAGCTACCCATCAAAAAAACTATACCGAATAATTAGCTGATATCAAAAGAAACGCGAATGATTATAAAAAAAAACGTTCAAGTGTCACTCTTTAGATAACCTTTAATATCTAAGAACCGTGTCACTGAAAATATTTTGTTTAATTATAATTGTGGTTGTTTCATTTCCGCGATTACTATGTAAGTACTCATTTTATAAATTATTATTGGATATATGAGATCTATTACATTAAATTCAGGATGAGAAATTATGAAAAATATGGTCTATGGATTATTATATTGCATCAATTTTGCATTCGCGATGCTATACTGAAAAATATCCTTAATGAAAAATGCTTAAAAGATCCGCTTTCGACCAGTTTGCGAAAGGTTATGGGTTCAAGTCCCAAGACCAAAGTGGATTTTTCAAGCGTATATCTATATGAATGTTAGCGATATCAGTTCGCACCTAATTTTTTCATGAAAAGTCAGATATTTTGAGTTATCGGCTTACTTTATGTAGTCTGTAACTGCAGTATTATAAACAGTTGGTAATCTGGTCTGGCTGCTGTCTTATTAAACTTGATAACTCTCTTATATCTTGAGGAAAGAATATTTTCTAATGGAGCATGGAAAATGGTTTTTTCAACATATTGCTATAATTATATTCATAGAATATATACAATTATACGATTTTCGTGCGTCTTCTATCCCTTCTTTACCAATTAAAATTAACTACAACATTTTTTTATCTATACATACAAATATATAAGATTGGAAATATAACAATTTTTACTATATGTATGTATACTCGGTACATATACCTACCAATATATTTTTTTCCATTTTTTGTCTGTCTGTTTAATTGTTCATAAGTTTTCTTTTGCAAATTGTGGAGAAGATATGCAGCGTATATATTCTTTGACATAGCTCAAAGATTTGCATTCTAGAATAATTTTATAGAATGTTATCATAAAGTGGATTAATAACAAACACGCCAAGTTTCTCCACATGATTTTAAACCTTAATACTTTGAAACTGGAGTTTTAGATTTTAACTTATTATATGAATGATATTATTATATATTTCCTGTATATCTATAAAATGGAATTAAAAAAAAATATTTTTAACTATCTCTATTTACTAGCTTTGGGTTATGAAAGCCTGGCGATCAACGAGTACTTGTTTTAGTTTGATCTCAGCGAAATATTTTTTTTTTTGAATTTTTTTTTTGAACCAGATATCAAATCACAATAATTTATTCAGCACAAACACTTATGAAAGTCGAAACTCTATGCCATCAGCTCTGCATTCTGTAAAAATTTAGACCCGATTTCGAATTCACTCATGAGTCAGAGTGAAGAAATTCTGATGCTTCCATTTTTGTATAAAAATACAAAATAATATTCATTTCGAAACTCACTTCACTTATGCTACGAAATGTTATTACCGATTCAAGATTGAGCAGATGCCGCTTTTTAAAGTGAATATGGACACCTGACTGAATTCGAATTCGAGTTTAGAGTTTTACAGAATCGGAGGGCAGTTGGTAAATCTATGGCGGGAGACTTTGTACCGAGAAGAACCGGCAAGAAACTCAGCAATGGCTGCTTTATCTCCCTGTTTTATTTCATACAGAGTCGCCAAGATTTAAAATTGGCTTCATTAAAATATGAAGTCACTTTCCGTTATAATATTAGAAAATTTAACGAGCCAAACTCGATGGGGTTTAATCACAAAGTTCTATCATCAGAGCCTGATCATTATTTCGAACCAAAATAATTTTCAAAACAAATCAAAAGAGCGTCATAATATTGCATCATCATCCAAATTATATGTGTATACAAAATTTCAACTCAATCAAAAAGCGAAAACTGGATCTTTAGCTTGCAAGATTTGACCCATATAAAAGCTTATAAATTTTTTAATCAAAGTCTGATATATTCTCTATATACATCTAGAAATCTTTGTTAAAATAGATATAACTCTTAATAATTTAGCTGTTGCTAAGCTAATGTTTAATGATATTATTTATCTAATACCTAAATATAATTTTAATGAGGAAACATGATATTATTTTTATATGGGCTTATATAATTTATAACGCGATGTCATGATAATAAAATTATGACAGTTTAAGTTACAGCACGTGCTATAGATGTGATAAATTAATCGCCAACTTCAATACCGATTGTTGCTATTTCAAACCCATAATATTAATAAATAAAAAAATTAGTATATGATTTAAACCATTGGCTACTTAAAGTAAATTGCTAATGACAAAAGAGAAAATGTCGCTACTGTTTCTCCAGAAACGAAATTTAATCTATCATTGAAACGCATTATGACTCTAAAGAATCTTATTTAATATGCAGCCGATATAGGACCAGGCACGGCCTCTAATATACTTTTTATTTACAATGTGCTCACTCTTGACCTCAATCTGGCCTAAGGACATAGATGAAATCTACGGTGGGACGAGCTTGCCCAGAAGGAACCTATTCACTCTTGCCTTAAATAGGTCTGAGTTATATGCACTCGAGAATATAGACGCCGGCAGGGAGTTCCACTCCTTGGCGGTGCACAGTAAAAAGGACGAAGAAAAGCGCTTTGTGCGGCATCTTGGGATATCAACTAAATGATGGTGTCTCGCCGTGCGTCTAGATTGCCGATGGTAAAACGGTGAAGGCGGAATGAGCTCATGCAGCTCCCGAGATATTCACAGATAATCTTTACCGGTATGATATTAACAAAATTAGGAGAACACACATTAATTGCTTATTTGAATAAAATTAATTTAAAAAATAATCTAATCAATCATGAAAGTGTATCTAATTAAGTAAAGCACTTAATTATCCATCGCTATGTAGATTTTAATTTGAAATTAAATGTTACTTGTAATATTTTCAAATTGCATATTTTATTATTTAAGTTGATTATTATATAATCTAATTGGTTGTGACTAACAATATTAAGCCTTTGATACATAGAAACTCTAATTTCAAAGCCACTATCATAAATACCCTCAAAATATGCTGCAGGGATGAATTCTTAGACCACAATTTTATAATACTCTTTTTGTGATTAAATTAAACAAATAAGTACCTTAAATATATAAACTGCTAATATTAGCAAGAGTAAAGAATATATGAAATTCGATCTTTTAGATTACAAACGAAAAAAAATAAAAGAAAATGATATCACCTCTTTACTCGTATAAGCGCTAAAAATTTCAAAACAACAAAACTATCAACGTACCATAACAAACATTGTTGTCGGCATCACAGACCACAAACAGCACAAATAAATGAATGACGAAAATCCAAATACAAACAAAACCGTTGTCGAGGTGCGTACCGTCTCAACGACTGACTCTACTGATATGTTCCCGTCTACCAATATACAGTTATAATACCGCCTTATCTCGTGGCACCTCAGTCTCGCGTGCTAGTCTGCTGATTGCGATAATATGCCTCCAGACGATAAAATTACACCAAAATTAGAAAGACACAACACCATATTGTAGTGACATTGAGATGTATGTCACGCTGTTTGCCATTACGCAATATAACAAAGGTACACAACACCCAGACCCGAGACGTAATAGGAAAGTCCATTTTCTACATCGTCTCCAAAGTAACCCATTAAACCTAATCAAAAATGATACCAGAGGTAGAACTTTCTTCACGAATATGATTATCACAAAATTATAAAAACAAAATTCAAAGACTTCCGAAATTTAATTCTTGAAGAAACAGAGTCCTCTGATGTTCTCAAAACATATGAACTATTCTATGATTTAAGGCGTCGATAAAATAGTTATTTTTGCATCTAAAAGAAGTAAGTCTGCTTATTTCACCACCAAATAGTAGGTATATTGTAGGATTTAAAAAAATAGGACTGAGAAGGTCCATCAGTATGTTAGACCTTCGAATAAACCAAAGGTGGAGAGTTCCACAGAATTACGACGCTCAATAGATGAATTTTCCTAAAGTAAAAATGTAAGAAAAAATATCTCAAATGCAAAATACTGTTCTTCGCTCCTAATAGTTGCAGCGTGATGTTATATAGCCTATAGCATTCCTTGATAAATGGTCTAATCAACACAAAAATATTTTTTCAATTCGAACCAGAAGTTCCTGAGATTAGCGCGTTCAAACAAACAAACAAACTCAAATATTAGTATAAATATAACAAGTAATAGCTTAGTTAATAGGCATTGAAGTTGGTAAATTTCAGCACAATTTATTTATAGCCGTATTTATCGAAATTAAAAAAAAAAACATATTTAGTATTAATCAATAATGGCGGACAGACAGTCAAAAATGTATCATCATGCCTATTATGTATTTTCCAGTTAGGTAATCTTTGACACATACGAAAAAGAGATTTTGAGTAAGTCAATATCGAGATAAATCACTTAGGCAGTATCAGAATCTAATGTATTATCTTATCTTTGTAAGAATAACTTTTAAAATTCAAAAGTCGGCAGTCGGTGTTATGCCTACTTTCTAAAATATTTTAAGAATATTATTCACTTTCTAAAACTGTTTTTAATTAATCAGTCAAGCACCCATCCTTAATCAAACAAAAAAAATATTTTATGTAACTATGTTTAAAATTTAACTGCAAAAAAACCGCGTTAACGATGACGGCGGACGTGACGTCATTTGGGGGGTAATTAAAAGGGATTTTCAGTGTAAATCCAAAATCAACATAAATTGAACCTCAGAAATAAATAAAACTCAATTGACCGTTGTGAAAAATTACGAAAATTGAGAAAAAACAAGTAAATCATCGAATCTATCAAAATTATTTTGCACATTGAATGTTTCCCGCGCTTTTTCTAAATAATTTTACTACCAATTTACCCAGAAATGACGTCACGCGCTCTGATTGATGTTTCTTTTGACTCCGGACCCAGAATATAAATATTGGTTAAATATTTTTTTTTATTATTTTTTTTTTATTATTTTTTGCTCAATTACAATAATAGAAATAATTGTTATTTAGCAAAAAATATTCTTAGACCACAATTTAACATCATCCTGTATATTTATGAACTTTTAACCAAATACAATTTATTTATTTTTTCTAATTATTGTCTGCCCTGCGATTCTGCAAAAATCCAAAACCCGAATTCGAATTTCACTCAGGTATCCGAATTTATGTGATTTAGTGAAGAAATTCTATCTATTCCATTTTTTGTATAAAAATACAGAACAAAATTTATTAATTACATATACGTGTCACAGATATTCTATTTCTATGTCATTTCTAAACTCACTTCACTTATCCCACGAAACTTTATTACCAATGTAATATTGAGCGAATTCCGACACCTGAGTGGATTCAATTCGGGTTTGGATTTTACAGAATCTCAAGTACGTTCCCCTATAATGTGAGGTTCCTTGCTGCACACGATAATTCATTATTTTTAAGTTACACCATATAACTTGAAAATCCATAAAGACTTTAAAGACTTTACCTACGTGAACGTCTCTGTCTTTGTCTGACATTCGCGCATATTATCTATTTCTCGTATGCCAATCTATAATAATAATGTATCTAAATAGGTATATTGAATTTATGACGATTCAATGGATACGTAATGCCAATAAGATCAAAACATTTAAGCAGTGAAATAAATGACATTAAACAGGGCTCCATTTTGTAAATTATATCGTAATATGTCAACTACATGGATTTTGCCAAACTAACTATATTTTTAATGCAATATCTTCCTCGCAGATCAACTGTGACAGGTATATTTATTAGTTTTTGATCTAGTGACAAGAACTGTGTCATAAAGGAATGTAGTTGAAGACCTATAACATTCCATAATTACGTAGAATTACCTACAGCTGCGACTTTTACAATTATCATTGTAACTAACGATGACTCTTCATTATTTTTGTCTTATTTTGTGAATTGTCTTCTATTATTTGCTGAATTGTCTTCCCAGTAACATTTTGTAATAAAATCAACCTCGAAAGCAACGTCGAGGCTAGTGCAATACATAAAGATTCATTCAAATAAAACCTACTCCATACAGTAATAACGGTTTAACTTCATGGAAACTCTGTGCTGTCACAGCGCTGGTGTCCGCTAGCATGTCAACGTAGAAGTCGTACAAACGAAAGTGCAGTTTCTTCAAGCAAAAGGTGAAACCATAATTCTTATATAGTCGAACCCTAACCTTTTGCTATCCGGGCGACTTCTCTAACCATTGAGCTACCCGAAATTCCACAGGACTGACTATCTTTTCAAGCATTTGTTACTTTTACATACTAGTGAGCCTATTTTTATTCAATATATAGGCAATTCACAGACAGTCGAAAGAGATAACCTCTAGAATATTACCATATCGGGATATTTGGGACTTATGGATTTTAAGACAATCTTCATTAAATATATAAACCATAATAACATAAATTTTAGTTAATAGATCACGTTAGTTACACGTGCACCCAATCTCCTATACAATAATCTTGTTTACTTACCAAGAAAGTTATGTCATGACTCATAGTTAATTATCTAATAAAGTTCTTTTTTTATTGATATATTGTCTCAGAGTAATAGGTCTGATTAGTCTGCTACTAAGCATTGGTGTGAATGACCCGGAATTTATTTTATTTTATTTTCAAAAGCAAATCAACAGTTACATTAAATTAAATAAAAACAATAATAAGACAGACAGATACAGAACAGATAACCAATTATAGACTCACACATATAGATACAAACTATAATAAAGACACAAATTAATGTTACCACTATGTTAATCAAACAAGCAAATATATCAAAATAATAAAAGAAAAAACCTATTAAAAAAGCATTCGGTCAAGTAAGCAGATTCATAATAATTTGTCTTGCTGAGTTACAGTTTGAACAAAATAGGTCTATATCAACCTTATTACACAAATAATTGAAGCATTTGCCTGCATGGAGCAAAAAGGTATTTTTATTTTTAATTAGCCTATAATTAGTATTTGAAATGGGTACGTGAATTGGCCTAAAAAAACGAAGATTCCATCCTGGTACATTAAAGCTCCTGGTACAATAAATATTATGCCCAATGACAGTGTTATTACAAAAAAGATAAACACGCGTTGAACACGTGTTTAAAAATTGTTCTATTTGAGCATTGGTTAAGGCAAAACAACCCTTAAACATTGTTTAAAATTTAAACACATGTCATGTTGACACATGATATGTTGTTTATGGAGTATCTTACCTTTCACAATATTTCACTATAGTTTTTAATTTGATAAGAATTATGTCTTTGAATTTAAATTAAAAATGATAATTTTAGATTAAATATTTTCATTTACAAAAATTATTAACTAGTGTGTTTAAAAGATATCTTTTTACGTCTAAAATTTATTATAAGTTTGTATACAGCGTGCATAGAATTGAACGTGTATGAACGAATGAAAGCCAGTAGTACGAATGTTTCTTTACTTAGACAATGTTTAAAAATGAATTGTAATAGGGTAAAAATTAGACATCATTTTAAACAGGGTTTATATTCTTAAACACAGTTTTGATAAACACATGGTAAAACACTTTTTAACGTCTCTTTTGTAATAACACTGATTATGTTTTAACCAAATACTTCTATTTATACTATTAGACAAGCTATTCGGTTCTAGAAAATTACTCAAGTTTCTAGATAAATTTTCAAGAAAACTTTGCAACTAATCCTGCGTTACTATAGGCCTCGTCACTATAGAGTTTAGATAGATATCACTCAGTACCCAGTGCTTGGACGCTTTCACGCCTGAAACAAACTTTTTGCGATTCTTTGTTTTTATGAACCAACTATTAATAATTTATTTAATTATTTATTTATATAATTTATAACTTTTGACCATTATATTTTCCCACCAACTACTAAAATCTGTTGAGTCACTGCATTTCATGATCGTGCAATCGGAGCAGTTTTATCCTTTTTTTTTAATTAATATCAGTATTTCACAAATTTTTAATTATTATAAATTATTTATAATAAATGCTAAGACTTTTGTTCCAGCACCTGACCTTCACACTGAGTATTGCACCTCCACTTGGAACTTCCACCTTCTGAAATATAAAGATATTTTTTGGCATAATCTCTTAAACTAGAGCGACCAAGGTGTACCGATGTCTAAAGAGCGTGATTGATTCGTCTCATGTAGAAGCGATATCAGTTGTCGTTGACAGATTTTTTTCCTAAGTCGATATTTTGAAAGGCTTCGACTGAAATAAAATGGAACGGGAAAATGTAAAAAAAAAAACAT